CAACGCATGAATATGGTTAATGGAAGCCATGGTAATCCTATGAATCCAAACATGATGCAAGGTATTATTGCTTCCTATTTCATTTATTTATTTATATAACAATTTCCATATCTATCATTGTTTAGTTCCACCAAATCAGTCACCGCAACAACAAATGCAGTCAATGCATGCACAAAATATGAACCGAAGCAATATGCCAATATCGCCAATTTCACCAATGCCACCGACAACGAATTCACCGTTGTCGTCTCTATCATCAATGTCACCGCTTTCATCACTATCTTCATTGTCGTCAATGGTCGGCCAACCAAATCAATCGATGCCTGGTGGACCAAAAAATGTGCAAGGAATGAATCCAGGAATGATAAATCCACATGGTCCAAATCCCAATACAAATATGCAACCATTTCAATCACCCCACCATCAGCTAACACCTGGCATGTCACCGCAGGTACATCTTGTCGCCACCAAATTGCTTTCCACTTTGGTTTTAAAATAAAAAAAAAACTTTTTTTTTCGTATCTATACAACAGGGTAATTCAGGTGGACCACCAAATATGATGATGAAACTCGATCAGTCGGGAAACTATGACAATTCAATGATGATGAAAAATGAACAAATACCAAGCAATCCCAATTTTGATAACAGTGGCAATATGAATATGATGAAAGGTGATCCAATGTCAAATTTCGATAATCAAAATCAAATGATGATGAAAAATGATCCGGGAATGCAACCAAACCTAGGACCCAATCACCCAATGATGAATAATCCGATGAACGCTATGAAACAGGTATTTAAGCAGTGAATCAATCTTTCTTTCATCAAATCTCCCATCCCATTTGGTGTGAAATAAATGTTCTTATTTTATAATTGAGCCAAATAGCAATCGTTTATTTCTCGCCATTGGATGTGGAGATTCTTTTTCTATCCAAAATCTTTCAACATTTCTCATAAAACGTGTTTTGTTTAACCAAAAAAAGAACATGTACTTCTGATTGTCTTTAGAATCAATTGCCTCCGTCACAATGCTTGCCACCCAATAATATGGGCATGATGTCATCAAACTTTTCCATGCAACATCAAGCGATGCCACCATGTAATTATAATAACCCAAATATGACCAATAAACCATACATTACAAACTCGCAAAATCCAAGTGCACCGCCAACATACACATGCGGTAAATGTCTTAAGGAGGTCAATGACAATGATGAAGCACTGTTCTGTGAAGGCGATTGTAAATTTTTCTACCATCGGTACGATAAACTCAATATAAATACATTTATATTTTTTTTATTATTATATTATTTATTTACTTTACAGGATTTGCATTAACTATAGCGAAGCTGAATTTCTGCGTTGCGTTAAAGATGTAAATACAGAATGGAAATGTCCAAAATGTCAGGATCAAGCGGCCCTTTCGCCAGCAATAAAATTAAAATCTTGAAATCAAATCAAGTTGTTGAGAACCCCTATCTATTGTCAACTCTTTTGGTATTTTTTACAAATGTTTTCATGTTTTTAATTTTATTATTTCTATATCTCGATAAAACTTAAATAATCAACTTTCGAGTGATTTGTTCCGTTCATATGAACATATATGTTTAGCATTATTATTTTGAAATTTTGACTTAAAAAAAACTTTGCCGTCTTTTTTTTATATATGGATAATAATTTAATACATTTACGTATGTTTACATACACAAAATGCACAAAATTTGTCATTATAGGAAATATTTGATCGATCTAACTTCTTTTTTTTTTTAATAATTATTTATAAAATTGTATTTTTTTTTTTTTGTAATTTGTATCGACTTCAGTTCTACTTATTTTGCAGAATGTGCGCAAGAATATACTTAATTTGAACTTCAAATAGTATTCAGTTCATAATTTGTTATGCAACGAAGAAGTGGTGATAAAGTGGCGTTAAGCCAACGAGAAGCCACATTGCAATATAAACTAATTTTCGAAACAACAGCTATTTCGCAAGTAAAAAAGAAACACTGTGTCGAAATGGTTCGATTTTGAAATGAACAATAACTTAACGCATAAAAGTAATAAATAAATATTTAATTTTTAAATGCAACAATTCTACAGAACAAACACAAAGAACACAGACACAAAAAAAAAAGATGAAAAAAAAATGTTTATATTATAATTGAAAGTTTTTATCTCAAATGCCTTTTATTTGTGTAAACAAGAATAAGTAACAAATTATAGAAAAGCGGAGATATTTGCTAAGCTTAAGTAATTGAATAACGTTTAATTGATTGATTAAAGTAAATTTACAATTTTTAAACAATGAGAAAAAAGAGAAATAAGAAAAATAGACATAATTTCAAATCATTTTTTTTTCTTTTATAAAGCCCTAACTAAACAAATACAAACAAATTTAGTGCCGTGAGAATTTGAGAAGATCACGATTGTGACGTACTCAATTTTATGAATAATTTTGACACATTGTACAAATGAATTTTTTCAACTTTGTGTAAATCTATCTGTACATTGGATTTGATGCGAATTTGTGAAAATGAATTATTTACGCAAATAAAAACCATTTATTAATGATAAACAAAAAATACTCAACTCATCTTTGCTGTTATTTATTGACCATTGCTTACCAAAGTAGAGAAAAACAAAAGATTTTTTTTTAGCTTGAATGAGTTTTTTATGAAAATCCACGGAAGCAATCTGGACAGTGGATTAAATGATTTTCATGAGTCCCCAAATTGAGGCCATTTTTACATTTGAATCGCTCGCGGCTTTTCTCCTGTGTGAGTTTGTATATGAGTATCTGACAATGATCGCATTGATGTGGTTTTTCTCCAGTATGTACTCTCAACTTCTTTTTATTTTCATTCCTTTTACATATATAGCACTCATATGGACGATTTTTACATTCCTTCTCGTGTGCCTCTTTTTCAATATTCTGTGAAAATCGACGAAAGCAACCTGAACAGAAAAGTATCACATCTCGATGAGTGGTCATATGTTTATGCCTTCATGTCTGAATTGCTTGAGGAACTCTTTGTGTAATCACTTGGTATTCTTGTTCTTCTTTTTGGTTTGATCACGGTTTTCCGTATTCAATGGTTTTTTTTTACTTCCATGTCTATTATTTTTATTTATAATAAGATTTGCTACTGACTATGAAGAGAAAAGAAAATTCTTTGTTGGAAAAATGGCATTTTTTATTGCAACAAGGTATACAGTTTTAAACTGTTGAAATATTTCGACTTTTTAATGTAAAGCAATTCTTTTTTTTTTTTGTCAGACTGCGTACGCATAATTATAAACATAAGTAAACATAAATACTTTACATAAATTAAATTACAAATAAATAATTGACGACGACAATGACTAAGCGATCTGTTAGTCTTTAGTGTTCTCTTGAATCCAGTCCAAGTATTCTGAGACACGTGTATAAACACCTGGGTAACCTGGCTCCCCACATTTATTCCCAAATGAAACTAATAGAAACAAAAAAAAACGTTTTATTATTTGTTTTATTCCATTATGTACACATTAATGGTAAGCATACCAATTCCCAGCTGCAACCACCGTGATTCTACACGCATCATTAATGGACCACCACTGTCTCCCTGAAAATTTATTAATCTATGAATAAAAATACCTGCACAAAGAAATAATAAAGCTTTAAATAAAGCATGCCTGGCAAGCGTCCACTCCTCCCTCGGTGTATCCGGCGCAAACAAAATTATCGGTGATTGGTTGGTAGTAGGCACGGTTACAATCTTCATTCCTCCAGATTGGTAGTTCGGCTTTTCGTTGAATTGTTGACTCTTTACCGCCGTAATAGGTGGTACCTAATTCGAAGACAATCCAAAATAGAATTTAAATAAAAAGAAGAAAAAAGAACCATCAGACAGAATGAAAAATAAAACTTACCCCATCCAACGACGGATGCTCGACGGCCTAAAATGAAAATAAATTATATAGAAAAGTCATTTATCATAAGAGTCTCTATTCCTCACCTGCCAATCTAGATGGAAGGATATTTGGTTTAGGTAAACAAATCGGAATGACGTATTTTGACTTTCGCACTGCACGATCCAGAACCATTATCGCGATATCGTTATAAAAACCAACGCGTGAAAATCGTGGATGAGCTCGAACCTCGGTAACCTAAAGTAATAATAATAATAATAATAATAAAAGAAAGAACGAAAGAATATTGATTTCGCACCTTAAACGTAACGGGAGCGGATTCCTCTCGATCTGTTGAAAGATCAATATCTCCCAAACGTACAGTGAACTGTCGAGCGGCAAACGGCCGTTGTCTAGAATCTCTAGTACAATGAGCTGCCGTTAACACATATTTAGTACCAATCAACGATCCACCGCACCAAAATTCGACTCGTTTATCACCGTGAAGAAATATTGCAGCGAGCCACGGGTATTCACCAGATTCCGCTTCAATACCACCAACCACACGACCTAAAAAACCAAACTAGACATAATAATCTTTATTTTCATCAATATTGAAATGAGTACCTGATGATATTTCTTGCTGTCCGCACTGCTTCTCATCAACAACATTGCTATTTATTTCATTTACACTTCCGATGCCAGGTGCTAAAGGATTTGATGGATTATTAGGTGGTCTAGATATCGTTTGTACTGGCAACAAAACCGATGGCGGCCGTTTTGTTGTCGTCGTGGTCAATGGCGTTAAAACCAATGAAGTTTGTGGTCTAAAATAGTTGTACGAAATCGAATTAGGTTCAGTAAAGGCAATTTATAGAGATTGTAGATTTTACCGTTTTGTTGTAAAATGACTCTGCTCTTCATCGTCATCGAGGGGACAGCAAACTCCCGGAATGAATAAACGCTTAAAACAAAGCGAGTCTCGTAGGCCGGACAAATTCAACAATAAGCTTGGACAAACGCTCAAATCTTCACATCGACCTGGACCTCCTAACGGAGTTATACACCTATTTTCACCTTCTTTGCCATCGATATCATCAATTTTAGCTAAACATAAAGCGGAAAAACAATAAGAATTGTTATTTATTAAAAAAAAACGATAAGACATTGATTGCATGCCTCATTTACCTGGTGACAATGTCGATGAAACAATTTGTGGAGCGACTGTATCTTTCTTTGATGTCACAGCTTGATGCTTTTTTCGCTTTTTTTCTGCCAATGCAGCCATGTCAATTTTTTCGTTTAACGTCTGTTTATCCAATTTAGACTCTTTTTCTGGTGCTTGCCCAACACGCTTTATGAGCGGTTCAATGTTTTTTGTAACATTTTGACCCAACACGTTATTGGAAAGTGTCAAAAGTGCATTCGATTCAATTTTTTCAGTGGTTGTCGAATAATCGGTGGAAAAAACTCCCGATTGTTCAGCAGTTATTGGTTTCTTTGTGCTGACACTATTTAATGATGACGAAGAGGATATTAATTGCATATCACCGCGATGACCATGTTCTCCATTCACCTCTCGTGTCATATTTAAAAAGAAACTTCCAACTTTGTTCAATGCCCCAAGTGTTTCGGTTATGCGATTAAATGCCGATTGTGATAATAATCGTGCTTCTTCGTTTTCATTTTGACGGCGACGCCTGACATTTGGTAATGAATAAACTTCTTTATCTTCATCTAGAAATGTTCCTGACGAAATGTCCAATTTACTTCGGGCTGCAATTTTCGGCTCCTCCACATCGAAATCAAAAATTGGTTGTTCAATATACGTACCATCTGGGGAATTTGTTGGCGGCAAATTGATGGGAATTTTTGAATTTTGATTCAAATGTGCCGCAGACACTGTAATTATAATTTTTACATGAAATACAACTTGACTCATTTCAAAATAAAGATACTGTTATACCTTTATTACGATCTAAGGGTATGTAAGATGGTTTGTATGAGCTTGTGGATCTTCCGGATTGAGCAATACATACTGCTACCGCTGAATATATTACAACTGAAAAGACACACATTTTGATGTATTAGTCATTTGATGGATGGAAAAAAAGTTTTTTTTTAAATCTTAAATGCATCAAATCCACAAAATATTACAACACTCAAGGAATTATCGAAAACTCATGTTATTTATCATTAGTTTCGCAAACCAATTGGGAAATCCCATATCGCGTCATGAAGACGACTTCAGTGAACATGAAACATTCTGTTACATAACTTTTATGATTCATGTGTATCAATATTAATTTGCAATTGATATGCCATTCTTATCGATGCGAAAATTGTACATGAATTCGATACTAGCTCGTTCGAATTGCACACATTCGTTTCCAAATGCATTTTGTATGTCTTATCCAAATGAATAACAGACACAACAAACAACATAATGGTCTCTTGTATTACAATGCCATAGTACAGCCGTATTCTTTGTCGATATTCATTGTTATTTTGAATGCGTGACAATGATGACAACAATAATATTACAATTAAGTGAAGTGAGGTCTTGATCGCTTATTTGTGCACATCGACTATGAATATGGAAATGTGTCGCGTTTAATATGCTACACCTCTGACTAAAATTATTCCAGTGGAGGTGGCGTGGCATTGACAAGCCGGTGAAAGTGTTGGTTTTTCTCTCTTTCTTTACTTCTTTCTTTTTTGTGTTGGATCTCTTTTTTAATTTCATTTACACAACATTTGTGTCTATTTGCGATTCCGTCAGCAAGATTTGTCATATTCATCAGCGGCTGTGATTGTGAGCCATTCAGGAGTGGTTTTAAAACGAAGATTTCATCAATCAGACAACGGAATGAACATGAATATACGAGACTGGAATGGAATGTTGCATTATAATGGTTTTCACTTTTACGATTGCGTAAACTTCTTGTTAGAAACATCGATAGATACCCAATCCACGTAAATGTGATTCAGTGTATTGATCTCAAATCATTTGCTCAATTTGATTATGTGCCTTCCAAAATGAATCATGGGTTATACTGGATTAAAAGTCGGTGCTCATATACAATACAAGTAAAAAAAAACACAATTTCTTTTCATTATTTGTTACATTGCATAAAGCAGTTAACTGCGTCGTCCAATGCATTTCGATTTAACGCTTGCTTAAGTTGGACATATTCACTCAGCGAACTATGAAATAGTATCAGACTAATGTTTTTCCGCTAGACTAAAAAAAATGTATACTAATAAAATAATTCCGTAAAATTCGACGTTTAATCGAATTAATATCGTAAATTTAAATAATAATACTAATAAAAATGAGATATTAGTAGACCGTTTAAAAAACGTTGCGCATGTTTCCGATATAATTTATTTATTTGTTTTCTTTTCGAATTTTACACTTTTCACTTTCTTTCGTTTACCGTGTGCGGAGGCCATTTGATGAATCGTACATTGTTCATTGAGAACGGCTTGGCCATGGACGGTTTTAATGGGAACGGCTCCAAAATATTGAAGAAGATAAATGGTATCAAGGAAGTTTGCGAACAAGAAAAAAAAAAAAACAAAGACGCATAATTCACACGTATAATGTACCACACAATCGTAATTGCTAAATGAATGTATAAACTTATGATCGATTATGTAACGCTATGTCTTGAAGTTGATTTTCTTTCATTTCTTGCTTCTTTCTTTCTTCTTGTCAATTGAAACAAACTGCTTTATGCTGATGTTGAAACGTGTTTTTTTTTGCTTTCGGTTGAACACAGATATTATCGTAGTATAAGAAACGCAACTGAAAGAAAGAGAGAAATTTCTCCGATCAACAGCGTGACGACAACTGAAAAAACTACATTCGTCAAGTTTTTTTTTTGTTTCGATCACAAACATAGTCGTAAAGAAAACAGATGGAAAATACGCTGTTCCTATACCAATGTTTAAAGGTAAGACTCACATGAATTTGAATTTTGTCCAAGACGAACCACTATGACAAGGTCAAAACGTGCAAGTTGGGCAAGATAATGTCATGGTGTTTTTGTCATTCATTTCTTAATTTCAAGAGATTTTTTTTATTGATATCGAAAAGAATAAAATAGCATTTCTCTTTCATAGGTCATTTAGGTGTAGATAAATACGAATATTCAAATAAAAAAAAAACATATATGCTAGTACGTTGCGCGTTTATAATACGTGGGAAATCCCAGTTACACGCAAATGTTGGTTAAGGTTATTACAAAACGATCACACATTCAATGCACATCATATTCGTTTCGATAACAAATCACAAATCGTGGCGCATTGTTTATGGTTATGCACGTCTTTTCTCAATTTTAACTTATTAAATAAATGTACGATCATTTTCGCGTATATTTCGGGTTACATCTAAGACCGGAAGGTTAATTTCATTTGAAAAACACAAAGAGAAAGATAATAGCGACCGTTATGTTGCAATAGAAATATGATGACGGAAGTAGACGTTTCGCTGAACGCTCTGAACACTAGAAAGAAACCAACACGCAATTTATTGAATTACTTAACATATCTTTGGGTTTTTCATGCTATCGCTTCCACATAAAATGACACCGAGTAAAAGAAATAGAAAGTTTTTTGTAGGTAGACAATTAGCATGGTTATAAATAAAACCACAAAACGCCAATGACAACTTCACCATTGCTCGACCATGTTCGATCGTGCTGCAATGCAAATTTTGTTTGCACAATGTTACAAAATCAAATATTAAAAATGTAAACGGTGAACGCTTGTTTCTCAATAAAAAAAAATTTGGTGAGCTAACGAATGCATGCATCACCCGCACATTCAATATCATCTGCGATATGTACGACGAGGCAACAGCAACCAGTGTGAAAGTTCCATAATACACGCTTCGTAATTCAATGAATCATTATGGCCATCCCAGTTTTATAGTCATTTCCGAATTAAATTGTTTGAAGAAAATTGAAGAAAAAAAAACGTGGCCATACATATGTATCGGCTCTGTTGGTGTGATGACTTCATTATGTTCTGTGAGATTTTGCTTTCTTCATCATTACCAACTACGGTGAATAGGCGTTCATCATAATCAAAGCATGAATTGCAATGAAATCGAAAGTAAGTCTACTCTGAGTCAATATAATTGAGCATTGACCATGTGTTAGATCTTTTCTCAACCATTATTAAAGCTGATTGCATCTTAGTAAGATCACCTTCATTTATCTTGTTTTCATTGATTGCTGTGCAGCCGCACTGATTTTTGTAACCGACTTTGATTTGAAGCGTAAATCTTTGTTTCGGAGCCAATTCGATTACGATGATGAAAAGTGAAATTGCTTTCTACTATGCAGTTGAAATGGCTTAATGACGCCAGTTTTGTGTCGGCCTCTCATATGTTTTGCAAATATCGCTTCTTTTTCTGTTGCTTTTAACCATATTATCTGTCTTCTTTATTATTACTAAACCTTTATTTATTCAGTTTACATGGATGTTGACTTGAGTTAGAGTCATTACAAGAAATAACACGATAAATTGCTACTCACAATCTCTACATATTTTTAAGATAAAACCTTTTCGAAAGGTGAAAATTAAAGTAAAATTATTCTTTAGAATATTTTACAACAATCTTTATTTAATCAGGTAGAGTCTAACAAAAATCTATTTGTCAGACATAAAAGAAAGATAGAGATTCTATTAAGACATGAAGCCAACGAGATCACATTACATAAGGTTTCGTCAAATTAATAGATAAAATCGCGACATGTGACTATAATTTAAATATTTTCTCATATCCGTTATAAATTCGGGAATAATTAGAAAAGACATCAAAAAAGAAATTTGATTATATAGGCTCTGGGCCAAAAAATAATGGAGAAAAAAGACCTTTCTTTGCAGAGCTAAACATTTAACGAGAGACCTCTTTTAACAGTGGACAAAATAAAAAAGAAACTTTGTTTAAATATTCGATAGTTGTTTCACAAAAAAAACTCATGCACAAACATTTATTACTCCACTATCAATCAATACTTCGCATCGATTTTTATCTCTGTGAAAGCTTGCATTTTTTTGACGGCGCCCAAATCAACACTTTGGTCAAAAACAAGATCGAAGTGAAACAAAAATCAACCGTTGAATTTGCATACTATTTTCATAATCTGTTTTCTTCTTTCTTTCTCATTGCTGGAGTAGGTTGATTTTGCGATATATATTTTTGACGAAAAGAGAATGAAACAAAGAAACAACAACAAAAAACCATTCAGGATTACAGTGTTTGTTGTCACGATTGCATTGCAAATTAAGAAGTTTCAAAAGGTCTGTGAATGTTGATACACAATTTCATGCGGTGAATGTATTATGTACATTCGCCGTCGATATTTGTTTTTGACGTTAATTTTTAGTTTATCCATTTAATAAAACTCACTCACCACTGACATAAATTGATTTCATTTTGAACAAACTTTTTACAACTTTTTTCTACACATTTATTGAGTATCCATTCGACAATCTACAAGTAGTTCAAAATATTTTTTATTCAAATTATTTGAGTTTTAATTTATCACGATGGTTTTGTACACGATGTCAATAGAATAGGAAAATTTCAATTAAAAACACAGCACACATGCACATTCTATTTTGATTTTTTCGCTATTTCTTCTTTTTTTGTGCCAAAAAAAACTTTCTTCATTAAATATTTTCACAAAGTATTGACACAAACATTGATTCACAGTGAACGTATAATTATAGTATGTTCTTTTTCGATTGATCGATCTAATTCTGAAGAACTGATTTTACCCAACGGGCGCACTATTTTTTGGAAAGAAAGTCAATAAATGGATGTTTTAACGGTCACCAAATCGATGTTTTTCTCTTTGATATTTAAATAAAAGTTAAGTTAACTGAGTCGCTTTCAGTCGGTGTGCACAAAACCGACTCTTAATGTGCACTGTTGAATATTAACTAATCGAACAACGAAAAATACAACGGCTTGAACGATTCATTTCAAAACTTCATGCAAGCAAGTATGTGAAGTGTTGATTTAATGGGCTCTCTCATCCACTCTTCTTTAACATTCATTCCCCTTTCTCTTGAACATTTTCATACTTTTCAATCTATGACGCGATGTGCGTTGAAGTGCGTTTATCGCAAAGAGCATTTAAACTTACATTTCTGTCGGTTGTATTCCCCTCCGATTTTGTGTATCGTTATCTAATCATAATAACGTTTCTGTCCTAGAGTCTACTGTTTCGGAAGTTACTTCTAACCATTCATATAACACGTCTTTGTTTTTATTTTGATTCTGAAATTCGATTTTCATCACTAGATCCACAAGATCGCACATATATTTATCATAGAATCATACCTTCATTCACACATTGAAAATATTGATCAGTAGTGAACACATATGATATTATACTGAATCAGCTTTGCTGACGTTCAAATTGTTATTGTTTTGAGCTGTACTTTGTAAATGTGGTGCGGTGCGCACACGAGAAAATTTTTGTCACCGTAAAAAAGACAGATCAGTAAATCATCACAACAACAAGAAATGTTGTCTGCTTCAAAATCATTGAAAATTTTTATTTTTGTTTTTTGTTTATCTCGGTCCATCTAATCCAAAGTAGAGCGAAGCGAGCAGAGAAATACAGTATTTAATGATTGATGTGCGTGTGGAATTAGTGTTTGTTTACCTGCTGTAACGTAGTGTGTTCGCTGACTCAAACACACATTCAATAACAAAAAAAAAAAACTTTACCTTATTCGACGGTGAGAAAAACAGAACGGAGATTTAGTAATGATCCTAGTGACCGGTTCACATTACAGCGGTACTAAATCTCCGTTCTGTTTCATCACACTCACACTGACACGACGTTGACGTTTCATTCGCTTCAATCGTGATTCTCTGTTCTGAGCGTAAAAAATCACCTAAAGTTTTGTTCTGCAAGAACTCACGGACAAGAACATCTTCTTCCCACACTTCCGGATTGATCAAAATATCAAAATCGTCTTCATTTAATTCGATTTTGAACGAAACGAACTTCAATGTGGTGACATCTTTGTCTTTTTTCACTAGTTTGGGCACATTGAATCTCGATTTCTCGTTTACCTGCGTTTTTGCCATGATATAGTCATTAATTTTTTCGGTTGTGGTCATTGGATTGAATCCAGATACCCAAATTGCCTTTTTAAATGTTGGTTTTTCGGCTCGTTTTGGTTTGTCAACCACTCTGAGTCGATGTGTGGCCGATTTTGTCCCTGTTTTTGGTTTTGGTGCATCGAATTTGACATTATTGGCCGGTGGAATAATCGATTTCGGTGAATCCTCAGTTCGTGGTCGTGGCTAATGGTGTTTTCATTTTTTGTGCGGTGAATTTCGTGTTTTTCGATGTAATCGGTGTGTTCGGTGCATTTTGATTCGGGTGCAAAAGAGCCGGTCGGAGCACTTTCCTCGCTATCATTTTCGTTGAATTATCAATGCCGGTTGTTTTTTCGTCGATTGTGTCCAATTTTTTTGAATTTTCTTCAATCACAATGCGGAGCGATTTTACCTCGTTCATAATTTGACGAATAGACATTTTATCCGGTTTTGGTGTTGATTTTGTTCCAAATGACGCGTTCAAATCGTTCGATTGTGTACCGTTTGACGTTTCATTGGCGCGCACATTGCAAAAAAATCGAATGTTCGGAGATGAAATTTGGCTAACTTTCAGGTTAATTTCAATGCACAGAAGATGAATGCATCCATTGCAGTTGAAACACTTTGTGGTCTGATCGGGTTTAATCTTTTCTCGTGGACAATCGTCCCTCGAACAATTTTTGTTTGTTGTCATTCCGTTGCTTGAAAAAAAGTCACTGTTTACACAGAAAAACAACAACAACACTATGGTACAAAAATGTTCAATTTTTCAATCGCAGTAATATTATCAAAAACACAAGAAAATTACTAAACTTCATGTAATTCTAATAGAAATCACCGTAATGTCGTTAAATATATATATTTGGTTAATTAAAATAACATTCAAATGATAAATAAATACAAAAAACACAGAGCTAAAAACAATAGTCGGTTTTCGCTTTGACAGCTAAACGTCATCATTTATTTGTTCGGATTTAGCTATTTATTTGTAAATTTAAATACTTTTTGAATATTTTTAATTGAATTTCATCATTTTCATTCTGCTTTTTGGTAGCCTCGTAACCAACACAGCCGCCAGTTATTGTTTATTATCCAGTTCATTTGTCGAGATTGGCAACTTGTAAATTGATTGTGAAGTGCAAGTGTGGCAAATTGTAAGTATTTTAATTTTAATTATATCAAAATTATAGTGAAAATTGTGTATTGCATTTGCGTGTTGTGGTGAAATTCTATTCTACAGTGTGCTGAAACGATCAACGAATGGATTCCATTGTTCAGAGGTTAACTGTTTAACGGAGAAGAGATTTATCTGTGAACAATGAAATCCATTCGTTTATCTTTTGTGTACACTATAATTTTGATATATCGTTTGAGCACATAGCTTTTTGGAGTTGGAATGATGTGTTTTGCAAATGGTTTTTTAAGTTATATTCGGCATTTATTTCAGCTCAAATTCAAATTAGTGAAGCGATAGAAATTCTAGGCACTGAAAAGGGATAACGATTCGTCTAAGCAGCCACAGAAGACCCAAAAGAAATAGGAAACTTTGTTTGACAAAGGTGTGTATTTTTTTCAAGACAGTTTTTTACATTGTGTCCATTGATACATCATTCAGTTTTCTCTCTTTTCTTAGACGATTAAGTTTCTCTCGCTGTCGTAATGGGGGATCAAAAACCAAGTAATTCTCGAGCTAGTATGGAAAATGATCGTCTGATTGTTTCTTCTGGAACTTTCAAGTGAGAATTCATTTTGATTGAATATTCTAAATATTCACATTTCATTTCATTTTTCTTCAATAAGATTCAGTGAATAGATTGGGCTACAGCTATACCAGTGCTATTTTCACAGCTCCTATTCATAGGTGCTATTTGTGAACAACGCATACGGACAGCGATTTTATGATACAATTCCGGACAATAGACTTATTGATTTGTTTATGAAAAAAAATACTAAAATCAATAAGTCTATTGTTCTATTTACATTTTGAACATTTCGTTCGGAATTGTATCATAAAGTCGCAAATAGCGCCTATGAATAGGAGCTGTGAAAATAGCACTGATATAGCTGTAGCTCAATCTATTCACTGTTTATCATTGGGATCTATTCTTCTTCTGCAGTTCCGACCAAGAAGTTACGCGTATTTATTTTGGAAATACTGGCGTCATTGATTACATACAATTTCTGCAATCAGTCGGATATGAAGGTCACTTGGTGTTTTCAAAGGCAATATTTTTTCACGTGAGGACAGAATGTTTGTGCAAGGCAATTTTAGCTTTGAAATGCCCACGTCTGATGCTATTCAAATATTTGGACCTGCAAACGAACGTCGAGAGCGCATTTTTCCTACGTTTCCGAGCGTCTTCATAAACAACAATGTACCAGTGGACAGACCGAATTCTCAAATGGGTGTAGGTACTCGAGATAGTAACTCCAGTCATGAGCCGAACTCGTCAAGCGAGTCCAAAAGCCACAATACTAGGTACAAACGACAATGTCTTTTAAGGCAATGTTTGTTGAAACAAGCGTTCTCAAAATATTAAAAAAATACTATTTTTACTTTATTTTTTAGCTCGAAAGCAATGAATAACGTTTCCTTTTTTGTGTCCAACCGAATGCTCCCGCTATGGGAAATAAAAAAGAGATGCCATATAATTCGGCAATAAACAAAAATTTCTTGGTTGATTTCTTCCAGGTGATGATTTCACGTTAGCCAGCGTTGTATCAGCCTTGGTGTATACCAACAACTGGTGTACACCAATCGTTAGCCAGCTATCTGTGTGACTACATAAGATAGTCGCTGGTATACGATCTAAGTGAACAACGGCAACGCACGAGAACGAAGTGAATGAATAGCGACAACGCACGAAGGAAAAAATGTTAATCCGTTGCCGCTATTCACTCATTTCGTTTTCGTGCGTTGCCGTTGTTCACTTAGATCGTATACCAGCGACTATCGTACGTACGATTGGCGTACACCATCGTTAGCTGGTGTATACCAAGCTGGTTAATTAGCCAGCTAATTTGTTCATCACTGTTTCTTCCCATTGCATTTTTTTCATTCAATTTTTCTCTATATCTCTTGCTCGTTGGTTTTCTTATTCGGATTTTGAACATTTCGCCTGAAGAGCAAAATACGCCATATATTCGCACCATAAGTCAATTTAAAATGTACTGAATTTTTTCAGTGAAAAAGAGCTCACTAATTGCTTTTTACATTTAGAACGAACGACAAATAAACAACCGACGCAATAATAACATTTTGTACATATTTGAGCGAACGCGTCACTGAAAATTTATATCAGACCATTTTTAGATTTACAGTATTGCGTCACACTGGGAACTTCGAAAGAAGTGTTTTTTACTTATATCAATAGTTTTGATAGTATTTTGGTTACCGTTAACAGTGTTGGGACTTAGATACGATAGTTTGTATCTAGATAGATATAGATATTATGATGTTTTACGAAAAAAATCTATATAGATATAGATATGATATCTAAAATGTGTATCTAGATCTATCTAGATCTATCTTTATCTAATATCTATCTAAAAAAATAGATAAAAAATTTAAAATGATACGACGATGATGTCTTCTGTTCGAATTCGTTCGAATTTTATTTTTGTTTATTTTAATCGAAAAATATAATGAAAGTCATAATTAAATGAAAGTAGGTAATGAAAATTATTATGAATATTATGGCGGCGGACGCAAACTTTTATTCGTCTTTAATAGAAACGTCACGTGGATTGTCTGAAACGATTTAAATACAGTACATTGCCAAATGTCGACACACGACCAAATGTCGGAATACCGAGAGGTGAATTGAAATTAAAAGTTAAAAATTCATTTTAATTGCATTTTTAAAAGTAAATTATGAAAGATCAATATCAAATCTCTCTATTATAACCAAAAATCTATTATTGCTTTCACAAATTACGTTCAAAAAAATTCGGTACTTTTATCACTTTTTCACGTCAAAAGTTAAACTATGTCATCACGGGGGACGGCAGTCCCCCAAGTGACGCAATACCCACATACATATGAAATATGTATATTTTGCGTCACTCTAAATAAACGTTTAAGAAATGAAAATCGATACCGCTGACTTTTGTAAAAGGGTTTTTGCATATTTTAGTAGTGCTCGGGCACCAAATTAGAATCCGCAAAAAAATTTGAAAAAATTCAAAATTTGGCCGCCAGGTGGCATTTTGAAAAAATCGCTGAAAATTCCTTTTTCTCGATTTTTGGCCACCAACCTGCTCTTTTCGATTTTTTCGGGCCATATTCGAAATCTAGGGACCGCGCAGATAATGTTAAAAAAAAGATCATAACGATCGCTTGAAAAGTGGATTAAATATGGTCATTTTACCAGAAATGGCCAAAAACCTCAAAATTGGTCGCTTGGGGTGTTTGTATGTCCTCTTTTTTTTCGTAGTTTTTGAAAAAACATTTTTTTTGTCATTTTTATTGAAAGTAGATGGAAAACTGAGAATATATGTGATTTTGAAATTTTCGATTTCGTCCCCCATATCCCTTGGGTCTGGGGCCGAACATTTTTGGGAGGCCCTTTTTGAGTTTTTCATCAATTGGATATTTTTCTGGCCATCTGAAAGGTAATTCAATGATTTATACGTCGTTGGAAAGGTACAAGACTCACCTTTCTGGATCCAAAGTCAGAATGGAAAAAATTTTCAAAAATGTCCACGAGGTGGCGTGCTATGTGACATTTTCGGCGAAAAATGACCATGACTTTGTTTTACGTAATCCAAATTTAAAAAAAAAATTGTCTATGAAAAAAATCAAAAAACTAGGGGTTTGTTGGGGACCAAATATGTGATGATTTGGCGTATGTCTCATATCTGGGAAAATTCGTTTTAAAAAAAATTCGCATCCCGAAGTTGAAATTTTTTTCGGGAATTTTCTATTTTTCGGCCATTTTTGATCACAGGTAGATAGGGTATTTTTCAATAAAATCACGGCAATTCTTAGCTTATTGGAAAGACATTAAGGTCATCTTGATGAAGCAATGAAGAAATTTTGAAAAAAAAAAATCAGCGTAAAAGGTTAGATCAGAATGACTAGACCTCGAAAAATGGGGAAAAATCGATGAAAATCGAAGTTAATCGTCATTTATCTCGAAAAAATGTATAACTGGCTTGGCTTTTTTCCTCAAAGATCGAAAGGGCACTCAATTTTGAGCCGGCATGCACATTTTTAAGAACCAACATGTTTTATTTGGTGAAAATAGGAAAAAGTTTGAACTTAAGCGATCACCTTAAAATTTTAATATCTTAGTAATCCACTGTAATGTGCTAGGTTTTTACTTTGTTGATCCACTTTGACAACTGATTTTACATAATTCGGACCCGAGGGATTCAACCGTGGTAACCATTTTGATATTAACCATTAGTTCAATTTTTTGAGATTAATCGGCTTGAAACCTTTCTTTTGGAATAATATCTCGGAAAAAATTGGTTTTTAGTCGATTGCTATGAAAATTGGTATTTGGGCGTTTTTTTATACGAGAAAACCGAGTATGACATTTATTTTGCGGTAGAATTCGTACATGGTACATTTCCTGTACAAAAATCTTCATCTCTTGCCATTTTGAACATATTAACGGTCAGTGTTGGGACTTAAATACATATCTTTTTTAAAAACGTATCTAAAATCTTATCTAGATAAATTTTAAATATTGGAATTTATCTATATCTCTCTCGAAACAAAAAAAAATGCGAAGGCCACAGAAAGAACACCTTAACATCTGTGTATGAAGATTTCTTCATTGAAGAAAACTCACCGCACAGAATCCTAATAAAATAAGAAGTCATTTATTTATGTATGTTGTAACAAGTTTCTTTATTACAGAGGCGAAATTATTTTAATTTGACTTTATTTAAAAAAAAATTAATACATTTTTCCAAGTGTAATATAATCTCCGAGGCAGTTAAATATTTTTTTGTTCCGTGTAATTTTGCTACTTTCTTCGACTTCTTTCTTTCAATTTCGATGTGCGGATCACTGTGAAAAATGAAAATAAAAATATATTTGAGGAAAATGCCATAAACAAAGAGAATCTTTTAAATTTGCTATAAGAAAAAAAATCAGACTATTTTTTCATAGTTTTCAGAACAATGGTAGAATAATGGTTTTCAAGTCAAGTAAATAAAGTACTGATAAAATATCGGTTAATAAAATAAATTTATTTTCATGATAATTTACATCGTGATATTTATTTAATTTAAGATTATGGAATGCATCAGGACACAGCTGGAACGATGACTCTAGTATTCACCTAATGGTATACAATTGCTGGATGTTGAACTATTAAATTTACACTTGCAGGAATTGTTGAGCCCATTAAATGTGGAACAATTGAAATTGGAACCAAGTTTGTCGTGACTGGGTGCACTATATTCGTTGATATCACTTTTAAATGGTGATCACCCAATGTATCTGGTTTAGTCGATAATGGCGTTTCTTCTTGAACATGAAATCCTTTTTCCTTTGCAACTTGATCGATATTTGATTTTGGCCTTGGAATATTAGCGCCTATCCAATCGAACTGCAAATGACCGGGTTGACTATTTAATTCGTTCAACAATAATTCTCTCAAATACTCATAGTTTGGTTCATCTTTGAATTTCAGTCGACGAGCGTAAATCAAAAATTTAACCAACGTATCGGTGCATATGTTGCCAACGAGTCTCTGTAATACAAACATTTTCAGTGGATGGAACGTAAAACTCTAATTTATAATGAAAACTCTTACTTTGATTTTCGTTTGTGATTTTTTGTGGTAGATATCGTCCATATTAGCGCCAGTCCAAGGTAATTTACCTTGAAGAAATTCAATCAACATGTAACCAATTGATTCTACATCATCTCTGCGCGACAGTACAGTATGTTTATGTGCATACACCGACATATAATGGCCTGTACCCCGACCAGCAGATGCTTCATGTTTTTGTGGTTCAATATGTGACCCATTTTTCATATAAAATGTGCACAAACCAAAATCTAATTAAAATGCAACAGAATATCAATTTGTAATAATGAGTTTCTACATATTTAGGTCAATGGATTTCGTTACCTAAAATATAGAGGTTTGACTCGTTTTCGTAGCCCACAACGAAGTTATCGGCTTTTATGTCATTATAAATTACGTTTTTACTATGTAGATATTCAATAACTGTTAACTGAAACAAAATATTCTTAGTCATCAGATGAAAAAAAACAAAACAAAATGCTAACCAATTGAATGCCTATCATCATAGATGTTTTGATGGAGTATTTTCCGCCAAGTTTTTTGCGATAGAAATTCAAATTATGACCGAGCAATTCAATTACAAGTATGGCATTCCCTTTTTTGTCACGTAAGCAATCGTGAAATTTTGGGATCCCAGCTGTTTATTCAAATATCAATCATGTCTGTTGGTTATTCTATTATCAAACGAATCATTTTTCATAATTTTTCTTACGGTGCTCGCCGAGTATATTGTAAAAGTTCTTTTCTCGAGTTACATAAATGGGTTTATTTGGTTTGATTTTCTCGAATTTCAATGCAACTGGTTCGAGATGATTTCCTACAATTTTGGTCCCTGCTATTGCTTCGCCAAAGGAACCGTTACCAAGACGATATCCTTTTCTATCATACACATATACAGCTCCGTGTGTACCAACAAGCTCTTCACAACACACCTAAAAGATCAGCCCTCTTCTCGTAAATAATTCACGTTACGTTCAAAATTTTTATGGTTGCTCACCCATTGGATTACCACAAATACAAAATACAACGTTAAATAAATCATTTCTTAGCCACTTAATAACTCACAACAGCATATGTATATATCGCACTCACTGATGTTTAATTAACAACTGATATGATGGAAATGATAACCTGACTTTTATAGCGATTGTTGTACCATCTAATTGTAATTGTAAAACATATTCCTTGAAAAGCATTTGCATTAATTAAAATTAATACGTGTTCTCAGAAGACATCTGCGTACAAACAATAATTTTGAATTCAAATATTATTTTGCGTCATATTATGGAGATTACCGAAAATTGTTCAACGAACATTTAACTTATTTAAAATAAATAAATAGATCTTTTATTTAAAAAATAAGAAAACCCACACATTTCTAAATTTGATATCCAAATTATCAAACTGTTTTAATTGAATAAAATGTAAAATCAAGTGAGTTACAAAAATGCAGTGAAAAATAAATGCAGTTGCTCTCAATACGATGTAGACATACTATAATGGTTGGCTCAATTTTTTCTAAGTTTTTCAATATATTTGATTTTTGTTAATGCATTCGTATGATCTCGCGATTGGTTCTCAATCAAATTATTCCAATTCGTTTGGCCAACAACAAATCCAATGGCCCGTTGCTTATCTTGCTCACGTTTCTCCTCAATATCGGCCCATCGAACCTTCAATTAATATAGAATTATTTGTGAATTGAATTTAATATGCCAACAAGAAGGTTTAAAAAACGAAATAATATCATACCCGCTTTTTGCCATTTGTGGAGCTCGGTGGAGGCTCCCATCCGTCCATTTGCAAGTAATCTTCAATGGTTGCATGTTTTATCGGTTTATTGGTACCATCAAGACGCGCTAAAAACATAAAAATATTTCATTTAATATTGTTCTTATTAAGTGTGGTACATATGCAGTTCCACAAATCAAACAAAGTTTTGAATATCAACTCTTAACATTTACTCACCTAATTTGTTTTCGGTTGTATCATTATCCCATTTACTTTTGAAAACTCCAAACTAAATAATTAGTTTCAATAAAATGTTTCGTTATAAATACTTCGATTTCTTATGATTAACTCGTCATTCAACTCATACATATTTACTACTACTAATTCGTGAAAAACAAGAGCATAGTTATCTCTTGAAATCAACTTAATCAATACTTAATCGTTAAATAGTGTCATCAGAAAGCATAACATTTTATTGACTGTAATACAGTCACTGTATTGCTATGGACTAATACAAAGATGATATTTGATGACTTTGTCATGAAAAATTATCCATTTGCAATTGAAAAGAATACTGGACGAAGAAAATACATGAAATATCTTCCTTTTTTAAAAATAAATTTACCTCGTTCATTGGCTCGTCATCGGCGCCAATATCGGAAAAATCATCATCCACATTTTTCTCGGCACTGCCATTGTCATCGTCTGATATTGCATCGAGAGATTCGGCTCCATCATCCTTATCATCGTCAGCATCACTTATTGCTTCGGTGTTATCCGCGCTGTTAAACAAGCATTCATAATCCAAAATTGTGTAAGACGATGGCGTCGGCTCCCACTCGTTGAACGCTTCACGAATATCACTTTCGCTTCGATTATGGATGTTATTTTTCAATGATGTTTCAACATCCAACGGTAGCTCACAGATGAATGGCTGCAAATGTGTGTGTGTGCATTTTTTTTGTATGAATAAAGTGATTTTGGTTGGTTTTACGTTTAGAATTTACAACTTACGGTGAAAAAATATGCTTGAGCTGTAAAGTAAAAATCGCCCAGATGTTGTAATTTTGTATTTTTGCAGTCAACAATAATGCATTCGAAGAGGTTGTCAATACACGTTTTTTTAAATGCCTTCAGTAAGTATTGCGTATAAGTTTCTTCCATTTCCGCATCGTACTCGTATGAATGTTGCTTTGATGACGTCTGATCCGAAAACATTTTTGGAAAAAAATAAATGAATGGCGAAAGATTTACAATTTGTATTTTTTATCATGCTAACCTCTGAATCAGATTCGACCATGAAATAGTCGTCAATGCTCAGAATGCGTGCAGAGCCGCCCATTTCCTGTTCTTTATCCTTAATCATCTTTGAAATGTACGATTTTCCCGAGCCCGGAATGCCACGCATTAATATTACAATCCTGAAAAGAAAGCATGTTTTTTTTTTACATGTAACAATGCAATGAAATCAGAAAGTAAATCCAAATCTTACCGCTTCGGTCTGGTTCTACGTCCCGGAGGAAATAATAAGTCTTTCAAATTGAATTTTGTCGGATTCCGTTCGACTCGATGATATGACGACGATGATGATGACATTTTCGGCAGTGTATTGTAGTCATTCCTTTCGGGTACATTTCTTGCTTCGGGCCGCCTTGAAATGATTGATCAATATAAAACTGAATAAAATATGCCCTTGATCTAATCTATCTATCTGCATACCTGTCATGTGGAGTTTTCCTTTCGCGAGAATTTCGAGCCCAATTGTTATCTTGTGGATTACGTCTTTGATACGTTTCATTAGCTGGTTGTGAGTTGGAAGGAAAATTTGGCCGATTTTCATATCGAGACTGATACGGTTGTTGTTGCTGCTGTTGTCCTATTGGAAAACGTTCGGGAGCCGGTGGAAATCGTTCTTGACGTTCTTGACGTTCCATCGATCCACTTTGGTGGGCCCAATTTGGTTGCCGTAATTGTTTGAACTCTGACCCTTGTCGAGGCCAATTTTCAGCCTTAATTTTCACCTCAGCTTTCAGTGGCGGATGTTCGTGCAGAGAAAATCCAGTCTTCGTATGATTGTATTCCATTTGAAATACTGGACAATACCAATTCCAAGTATGCATTTTCGATTTATGATCGTATTCAATGATTTTTCGTGGAAAATAATCATCCACTGGTGGAAGTCTGTTTGCAGAAAAATTACCAGCAAACGGTGGCCGATCTTCAAACGATGGTTGGGTTTGTGTGCGGTTTTGATAATCGATTACTTTGACTGGACGAAATTCCTCGCAATCATTTTGCGTTGGATTGAACGCGTTATTATATGAGTTTGACTCATGAGCCCGTTTACGATTATTATTAATGTTGTTGTTGCTTTTGAATGATCCAGCGTTTAAATCTTGATTCGTCGATTGCTGCAAAGTTCAAATGAAGAAAATTTACAGTCAATAATAAGTATGTATAAGAAAATGTGAGATATTTTTAAGCAATATACCTGCTGCTGCCCAAAATTGCTTCTATCGCGATTGTAGTGTTCGAACTGTGGTGAGGTATCGTTTGACGTATTATCATTCCAACGACGTGCACGCTTTGCTTGATTATCTTGGTATTGTGGCTGGCATTGCATCTGGTGAGACATATCATCTCGGTCGTTTCGGAATGGATTTTTTTGAGATGTTTCGTTGTTCATTTGATAATTTTTCTGATCATTAGCATCATCAATTTGGTTAGCACTTTGATTTGTGTCCATTTGCGAGGTGTTTTCATTTGTATTATCAGCATTTGTCCGCTGTGATTTGGTAGCGTCCGTTTCACTTTGTTGTCTCTGAATATTGGATAAGAGGGATTGTATTTCGGGATTGCCCAAAATGTTATTGACATGAGCAACTATATTTATGTCTGGTTTGGCAGGTTTTTCTTCATTGACCAGGTCAAGCCCAGGAATACCATCATTGCTACTAGCAAATAAACCAGATCCAGAGGTTATTTGATCTTCAATCGATTGAACAGCATTTTCTTGAACTTGTGTGCTACTTTCGAACGTTTCTTTTCGATTTTCTGTTTGATTATTTTGATTGCTTTGTTGTATTTGTGCGTCACGAATCGAATCCAAACGTTTTTGACGTAAAGTTTCACGTCTTTGCAACAATTGTTTTCGACAACCTTCCATTTTGATGACGAAATCATTGTATTGATTTCGATCGGGATGGTTTGCATTGTTTTGTTTCCATTCCATAAACGAATCCCTAGAGATAATCAGAAGAAAAAAATGGAATTAATGGAAATTAATCAACATGTTAAGTATGCCTTGGTACTTACTCCCATCTTCGAAACTGTATGTCGAAAGCAATTTCTTCCTGAGACTTTTCTTCATTCCCATGCTCATCTTGCTGCGGTGCATTTACCTCATCCTTGACCTGATCATTTCTGTCGAACGTATTTCGATTGTTAAAATTATTATTATTTCCACCAAACATACGATTATTTCGATTGTTCTGGTTGTTCTGATTGTTCTGATTGCTGTTGTTCCAACGATTGTTTCGGAATTGATTTTGTTTCCGAAAAGCATCTTGATTTTGTTGCGAGTAATTTGCATTTTCAAAATTGGTATTTTTATCGTGGATTTGTGCTGAAGTCGACTGTTGATTTTGATTAGTATTAGCACTCATTGCGGTATTCATTTTATTGGGCTGACTTATCGGTTGTTGTTGTTGTTGTTGTTGTTGTTGTTGCTGTTGTTGCTGTTGTTGTTCCTTGGCCGCTTCATTGAAATTAGGGGTTTGTTGCACAATTGATGGGATTTGTGTTCTATTGTTTTGAGTATTATCTAGCACTTGTTGCGGTGGCGGTGGAGGTGGTGGTTGCTCAATCGGCGGAGGTGGTGGCACGACACTTTGCATTGGATGCATATAAGCATTGGAAACGATATTTTGTGTTGCCATCATGTCATTTTGCATTTGTTGAAACTAAAAGATTAAACATGTTTTTTAAAAGTTTCGTTAAATGAAAGCACATTATTTGCAATGAATTCATATTCGGTTAGATTACCTGTTCTCCATATTGTGCCTGCCACTGTGCCAATTGATTCTGATACATTTGCCATTGTTGCCAATTTTGTTGTTGTAAAGCGTATTGTTGTTCAGCCGTTAATTGATACATATTCATGGTGGCCGGTGTTTGTGTTCCGCCACCTTGATTTTGGTTCGGTGTTGTTTGCCATATTGATGGCCAAGACATTTCCAATTTGAATATTTTGCTTTCTTAAAAATATTAAATAGGATCGTCTTTGCACGATTTTTCGTTTTGTTTGACAAACAAAAGTTGAAATTCCTTTTTTGTCTGTTCACTTTCTGTTGTTTTCAGATCATATGATTTCACAGTATTTATTTGAATTGATTATCGGTTATATGCCATGTGTAACACATTCTATTTGGTTTAGATTTAATTTACATTTGGCTAAAACCAAGCTAGGTAAGTTTTTTTTAACAAAATCACTGCGTATGTGTGTTAAAATACAGCGACAGGTATTTAACTATGGTATAAACGTCAAATGACTCTTTTGACATTAAAATATCGTTGCCTAAGACACGAATATTGTGTACACTTTGTCAACAGTTTTATTTATAGCTGAAACCCAAATATTTTTAAGGAATTCCAAATGATATTGCAAAGAAATTGCACAATGACCGCAATTCAATGGGTTTTATACAAACTAAACCTTATTAACCAGTTTTCAACTAGATATTTATGGTGAGTTTCATTTTTCACCAATTTCATTATCTACACAGCCAGATGACGTTTCACCACTTGACATTTATCGACTTTGTTTATAGAATTTTAATCTATTAAGTTATAATGAGATTCCAAATTGAAGAAGTTAAACTAAGAAAAATCAAATAACATAATGAAACTTTTAACAGGCTCTCATCAATCGCCAAATAAACGAAAATTTCAAAAGTATTTGATTAAGTTTAAAACATCGATTTGTGTTTTACTTTATATTGCCGGAATTGTATACTTTTGTTCGCTTGCTCATCCATCACGAAATAATGCAACATATTTTTCCGAAAATGCACTTTTGCCGGGTAATGATGAAGAAACATGGTTTAGATTTTTAATCATTAAATTGATCGTTCTATAGGTTTGGTAAATTCTGAAATGCGCATGGAGCATACACATTTTGCTGTTAAATTGTATGATGATTTGGAGCGTGAACGAGAAAAACACAAAAATACCATACCTACGGCATGGATACTTGCGAAATTCAGACAAATCGGACTCGAAGCATATGTTCACAATTTCACACTGAATTACCCACTGGGCGGTGGACGTTCTTTTAGTGGTAAAAATGTGTATGGCATTCTTCGAGCTCCACGAATCGGTTCAACCGAAGCCATCGTAATATCTGCAGCATACCGAACACCAGAATCAATTCATCCCGTCGTTATGGCCAGTGTGCCGGTTTTAATGTCTTTTGCAAATTTTGCACGAAGTATGCTGTCTATTTTACCTTTAAATTACACAATTACACGTATATAATTTGTACGCTTTTCTTTTAGGACAAAAATACTGGGCTAAAGATATCATTTTCCTTGTGACAGATCAAGAGCAATTGGGTACGCAATATAAACTCATGACTATAATCATTTCCAATTATAAAATGAATATTATTTTTCCAAAAACGATCATTTAGGAATGCAAGCTTGGCTCGAAGCGTATCATAATTCAGATGTATTGGATTCAAGTTCGATTTTAAATTGTGGAAATTTGGAGGCTCGGGCCGGTTCAATACAAGCAGCAATCAATTTGGAATTGCAATCTTTTGATTTGAATTACATTGACGTTAAAATCGAAGGATTGAATGGTCAACTCCCCAATCTTGATTTAGTTAATCTTGTTCAACGAATTGCAGCAAAAGAAGGTTTCATCAGTGGTCATCGACAATCATCAAACATTAAACGAAGCGGAGCCAAGAGCACATGGGAAGAAAACTTTCAGCACATGATGTCGATGGTGCTAACAAAATCAACTGGGGTTGCAAACGGAAATCATGGCTTATTTTACCGTTATGCCATTGAAGCAGTTACACTCGAAGGACACGCAAGAGAGCAAACAAACTATCAACGACGATCAAATGGAGCAACGTCCATCCTGAGATTGATCGAAGGAATTACCCGTAGTGTCAATAACTTGCTTGAACGTTTTCACCAAAGTTTCTTCTTCTACTTACTCGTGGCTAGCGACCGGTTTGTTTCGATTGGAGACTACATGCCCAGCTTGGGATTGCTAGTTTCTGCGCTATTGATTAAAGCATTTATAACTTGGCTGAATATTAATCAAAAATCAATTGTGGTTGACAATGAAGAACGTAACGAAGACGAAGACAAATCAATACTTGACAAAGACGATACCGATCCAAATGAGAATGATCTCAAATTTATTTCGGTTGCTAAATTTTTGATTATCGCCCATATTTTCGGTGTCTTAGCAGCTTACCTACCATTCATTGGTTCACTTGATTCAGCTTTCCATCAATACGGCATTAAAACTGAAGTCCATTTGTTCTTTACACTTTTGGTTTTATCATTAGTTAGTCTAACGGTACCACAATTCTTCTCATTTAGTGTGAATAATATCGAGGTAAATGTGCATGTGTCAAATAAGTTTGTAATTAATTGAGTGATTCCAAATTTGCTTAAATGTGGTTTTGTTGTTTTTTTTTATCGTTTAGTTACTTCACGTTGCCATTTTGCTGGAAGCATCGACTGCATTAATCATTGTTGGCATGTTGAATTTCTCCCTTGGATTCCTTCTATCCGCATTCTTTGTGCCATTTGCACTATTCATCAATCCAAAATCAGGCCTCTTAAGACGCAGGTGGGTTCTTTAAATGAATGCACTTTTATGTTGTAAAAGAAATGATATATTTATTGTTTCAGACTTTCGCAATTCATGTGTCTCTTTATGAATCCTTTGATGGCCGTATACTTGATAGTGTTCATGCTAACATGGTGGTCATTTGGTGAACTCTCAATCATAGCACTCGCCAAACGAGCTTTCACGGCAACATTGGATGCTATTACATTTTCGATTGTTGATTCCATCGTACGTATATTTATTTTAAATTAATTTGTAACAAACAATAGAAAATAATTCATTCTGATAATTTCATCAATCTAGATCTACAGCAATTGGCTTTATCCGCTGGTGTCGTTGATATTGTTCCCAATTTGGATAACATATTTTGGAATTGTTTCCATCAAACAGCAATCAGATCATTCCAAAGAAAAGAAATTGAATTAATCCAATATTTGATTAGTACTTGTTCTGATTTTGAACTATGAATAAAAGAATAAAGTTATGTTGAAACACATTTCCATTAAACAATTTCATATTAATTATCCCAATAAAAAACAAATAGTATATTTTAAATACTTATGTGAAATTTATAGAAATATGAAGATAAATTACAATACGAATTCAGTTAAAAAAATGTTGAGAAAAGAACTGATAAAATACTCCACACTGATAAAAAAAAGTATATACAAGCTACATTTAAAGCAGTAATGTGCGAGGGGGGGGGGGGTTTACCCCCCTGTGATATTGGCGAGAAATTTTTTTTCCGCCGAAAAAAAAAACGAAATTTGGTATCCAAATTACAGAATTTTTAGAAAAATCAACACATCAAGATGGTCGGCGGACGGTCGGTATCGGATTTAGTAATCTCGGCGTCGGATTTAATAGTCTCGGCTTCAGTCGGCTTCGGAGTTGAAAAATCGCCTCCGTTGCGAACTCTGATAAATATAACAGTAATGTGCGAAGGGGAGGAGGAGAGGGGGGCTTACCCCTCCCTGTGACTTCAAAGTTCATCCGATTTGCTAGAGATTTTCGTTCCAAACGAAACTTTTCTCAATTTCCTAGGATTTTTTAAAGAAAATTTTGAAACCACTCCCCTGGAAAATTTTGCTCGCACATTACTTAAATATAAATGACGGCCTAAGAAGAAAACAATAACATACAGAATATTCTGCAAAAAGACGAATACAAATTTATGTGAGCAAAAACAAAATATACAAACAGACAGCGCAAAAGTAAAACAGCCTACTTACATGTGTTTCTTATGTAAGTAGGCTGTTTTACCTTTGCGCTGTCTGTTTGTATATTTTGTTTTTGCTCACATAAATTTGTATTCGTCTTTTTGCAGAATATTCTGTATGTTATTGTTTTCTTCTTAGGCCGTCAAATATTATAAAAGTGATTGAAATGACAAAGTTCGATATCATACATGGCTCTCATTTTCGCAAATATAGGATTCGTTTTCTCACGCCAAGAAACTCCCTGCACAGTATTTTGTTCGAAAATATCGTTTTTTAATTTTTCCTCAGAATCTTTAATTTGACCGCGAAAATTTTCTCAAAAACTTCTAACAAAATCGGATAATTTTAACAACGGCCCGAAAACTCTAGCAAAATGAGAAAAATGGTATCTAATTTATTGAATTATCGAAAACCCCATTGAGGTTTTGAATATTGCTAAATTTTAAAATTCGATGCACCCTAACATATTTCTAAATTCAAACTGAAAATTGTTTTCTCATGAGTTTCTTGAATGTCAATAAAATTCTTTTGATTGATCAAAGCAATCTCCTTTTTAGTTGACTATAAAATAATAAGGTCAGTGAAAGTCTGTGAAATAAACTGTTCGAATGGATCCTTCATCGAACAATAACAGAAGTAATTCGCAACTATTGGAAAGATTTGGCTACAAAATTGGTAAAAAAATCGGCGTTGGTTCATTTTCGAGTGTGCGAGTATTGTCGGCTCAGTTCATTTTGGCGACATTTCGGTCATACACATTTTTTTTTTAAATTCCAGCTTGCCTATTCCAATCAAAGGAAATGTTCGGTTGCGTTAAAAATAATTTGGAAAGATCGAGCGTCGATTCTATATCAAACCTATTTTTTGCCCCGTGAAATTGATATAGTGAAATCCTTGCAACATCCAAACATCGTTAAATATTATCAGAGCATCGAAACCAACCGGCGATTCATTATTGTGATGGAATATGCCGAATACGGAAGCTTATTAGATTTAATGGCTAAGAAAAAAATTCTAAGTGAACCAGAAGCATGTATGTATTTCCATCAACTTATCAGCGCACTCGAATTCTGCCATTCTTCGAAAGTCGCACATCGAGATTTGAAACTGGAAAACCTTTTGCTCGTTCAAGAAGATTGCTTGAAAATTGGCGACTTTGGATTTTCACGAAAATGTGATGATCCCACCTCAATTTATAGCCTAACATTTTGCGGTAGCAATGCTTATATCAGCCCAGAAATTCTTCATCAGCAACCATACAATCCGTAATTTTTACACTTCTTTTTGACTAATTATCACGAAAATTGTTCATCATTTGTGAAAAAATGGATTTAATACATAGATTTTGTGCGGACGTTTGGGCTTGTGGAGTAATATTATTTGCAATGGTTTTTGGAGATCTTCCATTTGATGACTCTGGATCAATTCGACATTTGACTAAAGTAATGCTTATTATTATTGTTAAAGTGAAAATACAAAAATGATAAAAATGTTATTCTTTCAAAACAGCTCGTTGAAAGGGGTTTAGTTTTTCCAAACCAAATTGAAATATCAGTGGAATGTAAAAGTCTTATTCAGAAAATAATGACGCCGGAACCAATTAGACCAAAAGTTCAATCAATTTTCGAGGATTCGTGGATGATTAAAAATTCGAATATCAAAGAAGAAGAAGAAGAATAAAACTAAATATCACGCAATGAAATTGATTGAATTATAAGTTCTTCGTGAACATCAAAATAAAATGATCCAAAATTCGATGCATCACTTTTAGTATCAATTAATAAGAATCGTTCAAATATTTTGTAAATCAAAAGAGCGATTTAACGGATCCCGGCATACTTTTTCTTACTTTACTTTTGATCGAATCTTATTTGAATATGTTTTTTCAGGTGCCTTCTGTGAAATCAAAGTGATAAAATTATGATTCGTTTCTTAATAAATACTTCCTTTTATTTATTTTGAATCATTCTTATCTATAATTTATAAAAAAAGGTTACTTTACATAATATCGGGAGCCGAAAATAAGTGGCACACTTTTTAAGAGATTTCATATCATTTCTATCATTGTTTTCTTTATCGTCATCACAACTTATTCGAAAAATACGAATACGAATTTTGTTCTCTACTCCAGCCATCAGCAGATAAAAGCAAGCATTTGATAAAAAGTATTAATATTAGCTTAATCATGATAAGGAATGCAAAAACACATTTTTGAAAATGAGCCAGCATTTTTTCACGTTCAAATTTGGTTTGGCCACTATGTTCCTAAGTTATCTCTCTAATCTGTAGCTATTTACGGTTTGATAACTTTGTGGCGAGACGATCATGATTTTTCTAATAATTTTACGATACAATCCGGAGATTTGCCTTTCGTTTCTGGTATAAAGATTAATCCATACATTGCACAAATAAAGCATCCCGCACTGAACACTAACAAACATCCGTGTAATTCGATCACTTGTAGCATGCTTATGTACGCAAAATTCATAAAAAATCCAACGCACCACATTGTTATCGAAGTCATCGTCATTGTTATATTTCGAATTTTCGGCGGAAGAACATCAACAGTGATTACGAAGGGAATCGGAATTAATCCAATCGAAGCAATGAATATCGTCAATGATAAACCATAAATTGGAACAAAGTTGCTTGAAAGATGTTTATACATATTGTGCATTGCCAAAACAAACAATCCAAGGCCAGTACCCATCGACGACAATGTGAATAGAATTTTACGTCCAATCTTATCAACTAAAAACATTGTGAACAAATTAGCAACCAACTGAACAATACAAACTAAAATCGATGATTCGATGGGCGAAAGTCTGGATTCGGCTTCAATAAAGTAGGAAGTCGTGTAGGAAAGCAATATATAACATCCACTAATTTGTGGCAGCAGTACTAACAATATTGCGATTGAAACAGCTCTGCGTGCCGCTCGTGTCGTGACTAAAATTAAACCGCACTATTTACTTTTTTACACAAACAATAAAATATTTATACTAACCAAAATCTTTGATACTTATGCCACTATCATCATTTTTTTCACATTTCTTTTCTTCGACCATGATTTTTTCTGATTCGGGCGACATATTATTATTATTTGCACCTTTATAGAATTCCAATGCCAGATCGGCCAACTAGAATAAAAGCTTGCATTTAAGAATTTAAAATATTGAATCTCTCATACTTATAGAGTACCTCTATTTTATTTTTATTGTACAAGGACATTGGAGAATCTGGAACAAAATAAAAAACAAAAACAAAGAGGAAGGGAACTATAAGAGCGCAGACTGCTTGTACACGAAAATCGAAGAAAATTGCAACGATGAAACCAACTAAAGAACCTACAGCATTGACTACAAATCCCAAGGCATTTACAGTTCCACGTACCCTGAAACCAATTGTTTACCAAATATTCTTCAATATTTTATTCAACAGCCAATATACTTACTCGTCCTGACAGATTTCCGACACAAAAACCGGAACGGAAATGAACAAAGCGCCCCCAACAAAGCCGCATAATATACGAGAAGCATACAACCAATATACGTTCTCAGCAAAGATAATGAATAACCAGCTAAACTATAAAGAAAAACGTAAATAAAAAAACTTCTTGAATTTATATACGCAATATGCATACAATTGCCGGAACTGCTAGGAATAAAATTGGATTTTTTCTTCCAAATTTGTTCAGTACAAACAAATACACAATATTTCCCACTAATCCGCCTGCACATATTAGTGACATAACAAGAGATGCTTGATTTAAGGTAATTGGACCATCTTGTAATTGTGTTTTTGTCGTTGAATTCGATTTTAAATCGTCATAATTTGCATTCGCCCAGGCAGACATCCATCCAAAGGAAAACCCAATTAAATTTGCTAAATAAATAAATAACGAAATATTATTTTTAAATATTCTGTGATCAGTTTTGATACTCAATCCAAAATGCACCTGACAATGCAGCTAAAAATTGCCTATAAACTGTTATCGCAGTCATTTTTGGTAGACTTTACTTAGTTTCGAGTATATTTAAGAGATTTCTGAAAAATTCTTTTTTGTACTTTCTGTGTGAAATAAGATGTTTTCGACGCGCTCATTCACACTGAATAAAAAGTCATCTGTTGTTCTTTAGGTAGTCAAATTCATGCTCTTATCTTGACTCGTTACGTCGACTGATGAGATTCAATATTTATTTTAAGTAAATTCATGCATTTTGACGGCGTCAGTAGCTTTTCAGATATGATAAAATGTGACAATTACAATGAACATTGTACAAGCCTTCGGCACAATGATATTTCTTATCTCGCAAAAGATGCCACTCACAAAATTCATTCACATATGTGCAATATATTATTTCGTTTCGAAAAAAAGCCTCCATTAGTTGTGATTGTTCAAGGAATAAGTCAAAATTTATTATTTTCATTATTTTTTTCGAAAATGAAAACTCAATAACAATTTACAAGATGTAGACACTAGACAGCCTGAAATCTGCATTGTTTGTCTTTCTATCCTTTTTAATCATTGCTCCATTTTTTTTTTGCTAATTTACGTTGAAGTAAAAAAAATGAAGCAATTAAAAAATCTCACATTCAAATAACCACGCGCTCAGCGGCAAACTATTTACACTGTCACTTATATACAACAATAGCAACAAAAATAACATTGTTTACAATAGGCGAGAGTTGTAAAGTATAGTATATGAACGTTTGACTGTGGATTTGGCCGCCTGCTTCTTTACATTTCATTAAGGATTGTGTAGAATGTATCTGTCAATATATGATAAGAAAATTAAATTCAAATAAATAATGAAGCAACCGTATTTTATGGTCACAAACAAATAAGAATTATCATTTCATTGCTGATACAATAAAAAATAAATTTGTCTGTTACGTGGAAGATTTTCGATATTTATTAAATCGTTCAGTTCAAATACATATGTAATAAATCAATTAATTTCATACAGTTACCCGACCGAAATGTGATATTTCATGAAATTTTATCGATTCCAGCAAAAAAAAAATGATTTAAAAATAATTGAATGCCAATTTTGATGCTTCATAAAATGATCCATTTTATTTGGTGAGTTGAAAACATACCTTCACCCTAGCCTTCACCTCAGCCAGTATAACAATGTGCAAATAGGGCCAGAATGCTTTCAAACAGCATGGAAGTTGTTTATATGGTCAAAATTGATCGAATTCAGTCATTTAAATAGCGATGATTTTAGGAGCGATGATCTATCAGCATGAAACTTTACACACGTTATCCACACACCATATGGAAAAATATCCCGGGATAGCACCGACAAATTTCCAACCTTTTTGTTTTGAGGGCCAGTCTAGTATGCATGCAAATGTTTCAGCAATTCTTTTTTCATATCTTTTTACGATTATTTTCAGGGTTTTTTTTTAAATAATTAAGACGAATTGTTTATTGATAATGAAAAAAAAACGCACATTGATTTTATTTATCTGAATGTCATAAATCATCAACGTTTAATATAATAAATGAAACGAAAAAAACATATAAAGTCGTATACGAATTATTTGAAGTGAAATATTGACTTGTTCAATGGAAATTCAAAAAATTGCGTATGTCATATTTGTGGTAAAAGACGAATCAAAGAATGTGACGTGATTGTTTAACGCCGATAATGGAATTTGAGCTTGAAGAGATACTTGATGTTGACCTGTGCAACATCATAAACAATATACTCGTTGTACAGCAAATCGGACTTGATCTTAGTGTCTTCGATTGGCTTTCCTTTTGGTACGATCACATCACCATGTTTGCAAGCCTCGTTTGGATCAGGATAGGTTTTGCCTAAGATAAATAAAAAAGTTATAAATATATATTGAGATTGAATATTTTTGAAGCAATATATCGAATATGAGAACATACCCAAACCCTTTACTGAGTGTTTATCGTTTGGCAACTGGCGAATGTATTCTGCCTTTTTCAGTTCCATTGTATTTCCCAATGCGACGTCACCTAAAAAGTCATTGTTTTCGTTAAATTGAATGCATAGTTGGCTACTGATATCCATTGATTCTTCAATACTTACATAAGAGCATGCAGCCCGTGTTATTCGAATGTGTTGTAGCACAATAGTTGGCAGATTTGGTTACCATATCGGCAAAATAGATACCTAGTATAAAAAAGTATATTTGCTTAGTTAGTAGATTTATTAGATATTGAAAAAAGAATAATTCGAACCTTTTCCGAACATGTATCCGGTGGCTGGTGCCTCTGGAGGTGCAATTTTCAGTCCATGGTTCAAAATACCAACAAAGTTTGTAAGCCGAGATCCGTGCCATAGCAATTGACGATTGTGGAGCTTCTTGAACGGTTTGAATCGTCGTTCTTCACCTTTGCGTACCACTTTGAATATGTCTTCAACCTCAAGTGCGTAGTTTGTGTGAGTTGGTGCATGTGTATTCACCACATAATTCACCAACAAATCGTATTCTTCGGTTGATTTTTCAAGCGGAACGATTTCGGCCTTCAATTGCTCATAGTGTGCATCAAGTGGATTCTTCTTGACGTCGGTTTCTTCATTCAACAAACCGTAAGCAAGCTCCATTTCAAGCAAAGTTTCCAACATCTCGGATTTTGTGTTGACCTGTTCATTGGTATCGATTACTGGTGGCCGACGAACGCCAAAATCATGTGGAATCATCTAGGAGCCAATTAATAAAAGAGAACGTGAAAACAACAATTTCTGTGGAAATAAATGTTTAAATATGTAATATTGACCATACCGTATAGAAACGATTTGATGCTTCGATAAATTGTCCCGGTGATCCATTGTTTTGAATGAGTTCAGATATTTCCTGCAATACACGCATTGCAGCACGAATTTGCGAGGAGCTGAGCTTGCCGAGCGGCATTTTTTCAGTATCGAGATCAAATTCCAACATCATTTGTTTCATCATGTTTACATCGAAGAGCAACTTTATTAGATCCTGAACTGGAGTAGCCAAATTGGATTTGACATTGGACTCGGCCAGTTTGCGCACTTCTTCTTCCTCGCCGTAGCTAGTAAAAGATAAAAGAAACAATATTATATTATAAACAATATTCTTTATAAGAAATGAAGCTATTGGTCGGCTTGCGAAAAGTTATAGATTTGTAACCAGTTACGACATACTGCTATTGCAATCTAAAATCTCTTTGAAAAATTAACTGAAATATAAAAAGTATAAAGAGTGTCTGAAATATTGGAATATAAAGAATTACTCAATGTCCATTTTGTAATATTTCCCCGGATATTTGACGAATTTCTTTTCGCCAAAGTAGTTTCCAGTTCTTTCTTCATAAATGCTCTCAAACGCTTCTCGTGCTTCCTCCAACGATGAATATGATTCCAATTTATTGGAGCCAATAGTCGTCGAGATGCGTCCCCACGAACGGAAAACCCAGTATCTATTGTGAGACAAACATAAGTTTTAATTATACCCCTAACCTGAAGAATAGAGTTTTGAAGAATACATACTTTCGATGATCATCAGATTCCAGCAACTGAACTTTGTAGTACGAATTTTTGTCCTTTTGAATGTCAACGTTGCAAAGAATTGCGTAATACTTTATCTTTCCTTCGCAGTAAACATGAGCACAGTCCTCAAGTCCGGAATCTAAATAGAAATTGGTAGGAAATGATGTAAAAATAACCCATCTATCAAATTCAATATAATTTCGAAAGTATTTTTGGTTACCAGGGTCAACGGCAGTTCCATTTTTCAATTTCAACTTTTGTGATTTTGGCACGGATTTCGTGTAAATGCTTTTTGACTTCGACTTTAGTTCATCTTGGGGGATGCGAACGTGTGGCTAAAATAAAAACGGTTTATAATGAAATGCCGAAGGAGTTTTTTTCTTAAATATATGTTCGCAAAATTTACATCAGTTCCCCAATCGCACAAACTTTGACTTATGATGAAAGAAACAGCATTGCCAGCTTTTGCATCGTCCAAGAAACTCTCAGGAACCACCTAATTTCAAATAATTATGTTCATGTTAAAGAAACGCATAGAGAGATAGAAATAGATTTCCGAATAGTCGGCGACCATCCAAACGTAGCCAAAACTTCGAAGAAAGTCTTGCATTACCTGTATTCCGAGATCTTTTGCTTCTTGCATTCGACTTCCCAATCGTTCAACCTCTTTTTCGGTTGATATAATCGCAGCAACCTTATCGTGTATTTTGGTGCCCAACTTGCCGCCAAGTTTCTGAATCATTTTTTTGATGTCATCTTTCGACTTTTCAGTTTTTCCAACGATAACAAATTCCATGTTATACAACGGCGGCTTTTCACGATGAACACGTGGCCTAAAAAACCGTATTCTGATTAATTTGAATCCTTAGCTGAGATAATATTTTCAATACTTACGCATCAATTTCATCGGCTTCTTCTTTTTTAACTTTGAGTTTTGCCTGTAGAAACGCTGGCACCTCTCGCACTGCGCGCGCTCTCACCTTGAATTTTGTTGTCAAGAACGAGTATTCGTCTTTGATGTATTGAGGTATTTTTACCGGTACACGTTCAGGCTCTTTTTGTTCATTGTCACATTTTGCCCATTCGGACAAGTTTCCATTGCATAAATACGACGAGTTTCCAAAGATGAAATTTCCGTTCTTACATTTCGTGCATGGTTTTAGAGCACCAAAGAAAATGACGTCCGTACAATGGTCCAAAACCTTGATAATTTAATCAAATTATTGTTTATATTTTCCTTCTTAAGAATTTGAAACTAATTATCTTACTTCTGAATTTCCCTCGGGGATGGCTTGGTGATTTGCTTCCAAAATGGCAATTTGCACTGCCTTTTTTGTTTGACCTTCGAGTTTGTCGCGAAGTTTGTAGTATTCCTTGTTCTGTTTTTCAATTTTTGCTTCAAGTGCACTGTCAACTTCATCGACTTTTACCTTCTTCACCGATGGTTCGTCGATGTCTTGTTTGATTGCTCTTATTGAGGAGAAGAAAAAAGAACAGTTAATGCGATGCAACACAAGATGCAATTAATTCCATCTCTTACGGAATGTGTTTTTTGACATTTGCTTTGTCATCTTTGTTCAAACTTTTGTAACCCGGCAACTTTTCAGCTGATTCAAACCAACCTAGCTCAGAACGTAATTGTGCAAAACATTCGACATGGTGCCAACTTGCTTGTCCGCCGAATTTCATGCCGATTTCAGTGTCATGAAGTACTTTCTTGATGCGTACTTCATCTTTGACAATTTTCAATTGACAACCAGCGCACGCTGCACGCCCAGATTTGGCGTACTCAATGCCAAAATCTTTGATCAACATAGCCATTCCTTTTGATGAAGATTCACCATCTTCGGCTGACCGTTTCTTGCCCTTCTTTGACGTTGGGATGACTGCGGTTGCACCACCACCTGGTAAATAATCCGCGAATGAAAGAAGTGGAAAAAAAAGGTTCGAATGACGTAATTTCGTTTCTTAGATAATTGTAGTTATTGGATGAGGAATTTCGTAAATGAAAAATAAACACATTTCTGTTGTTTAGCGCTAAACCTTCTTTTGGTATGCCAAGAATTTATGAATTCTTCAAATAAAAGTGAAAATAAAAAAGATGCGGTATTAATGTAAAATGATTGACAAAACCGCGAAAAAGGAATTGGAAAAAGGGTTCTCCGAAATTAGTCGAATGACGTCATTTCGTTTCATTGAAATTGACAGTGTGATATGTCTCTCAATCTTTCTCACACTCAACACCCATCTCTCAACGCAACTTGTAAACAAAAGTAATAACGTTCCATAATTTTCTGAATAAATCGTGACATAATTCGTGTGAAATAAAGTGACCATCGTAAAAAATCACACAAGGGATAGCTGGAATAAAAGCAACAACAAAAATAAACTTACAGTTCTCTCTAATGTCTTTTTGATCTTCAACGCGTAGTTTCGGAAATCCATCGATGAGCGCTTCACTTGCGGGATGATGTTTCTTAAAGAAACACGCCTGATGAAACCAGTTTGGTTGTTTTCCATCGTGAAATGCCGACTAAAATGGAACATAGATTTTAGAATTTGATGAATAATCAAACACAGAACAAACAATGTCGTTGATTTTTCGGAACAGTTACGAACAAAGAAATTATTGTCTTTTGTTCTGATACCAAAAAAACCATTGTTTGTACTCGGTTTTTTGCGATTTCATTTGTTCACATATAATTAAATTTAATTTGTATCTAATGCTTATATCGAATTTCAATATAAATTAAACACACCTGGACCATGACAGCCAATCTGAGTGTTCCTTGTGCGATGTTCATTTTGCATCCTTTGCAACCGGCTCGGCCAGACTTTGCATATTCAGTTTTGTAAGGTAATTCTTCAGACATTGTTGAATATTTTCAACTTTCTTCACAATAAAAATGTAACAATACTTTTTCTTTAATTTCGACAACGAAAAAAAACAATTGCTTCAAATGAAACGTTACACAAATTCAATAAGATTCAAAGGATTGTGAAATTCAATTGAATGTCGTAGCAACCAATGTAAATCTACGTATTATTTAAAACGAAAACCGCTGAACAAAACTGGTCACGTTTTGACATGTGAAATGCGCGGTCTTTCAAACTGATCCAAAGCCACCTTTGAGTGGTTCACAGCATCGATTGTCAATTATTGTGGATATGCGAAAAATCGAAATATATATAATTATTTGCAAAATATTATAGCAAAAATAACAATATATTAAATTGCGTTTAGACAATGACGAGACAAAAAAAATAAATAAATCTCTATTCTAGTGTAAAATAACCAGTTCAGTGGATGCGTGCTAGTTCAAACATATGTATATTCACCATGGTATGGTTCACAGTGTCAAGAAAAATTGCGATAGAACTGCGACAAACAAAAACATTATAATATTGCTATAGTATACTATAGTTGTTTAATTGTCAAAATAAACCAAAATACAGATTTTTCTTTTTCATTTTATTCAGACGTAGAAGTACAAAGTTGTGATCAATTTAATGGCAATTTCGATAAAATAAAATCGATATAACTTTTCGTTTTTAGTCATTTTCATAGGTTTTTCTTTAAAGGTAATCTCGATTTTATATTTTTAACGACGCAAAAGCAAGACATCAAATTCAATAGATGATGATGTAAATTTTAAAAATAATACAAAATTATTTGCCTTCAGATCGAAAAAAATGGTGCATCCTGCGATTGCAGCTATCTCATTCGGTGTTGTACTTGGTGGTGCTATTTTTGCGTTATTTTTTTACGGTAGAAATGAAAGCAATCCACATAGATATGAAGAAAGACGGCGAAGACATCCCTTAGAATGCATGCAACACCAATTCGAAACGTAAGCTTGAAAATATCATTCTGTTAATTCATGATCTAATTTTTGACTTATTTCAGAGATATTTGTTCGATATGCCTAGATCGGTTCGATGATGCCGATGTATTTCTAGAATGCGCACATCGCTTCCATGGGGGATGTATTCGAGAAAGTTTGAGACACAGCAATTTATGTCCAAACTGTCGTCAACCAGCAAAAATTCGCTACCAATAGTTCATATCAAAGAAGTGTCTTGACGCCGTTATTTTCAAGTTAATACTAGTGATTTGTATATCGTTTTAAAGGAATCGAGAGAAATATGCCCAACATTTGAAAGATATGAAAAATCTTTGAAGGTCAAGCTGAAAGTTCAAAAAAGTATGCGTAATCGAATAATAAATGTTAAAAAATTGAAAAACACAAAATTGTCACTTCTGAAGTGGATCGATTTCATTAGTAACAAAAGTGCTTGAAAATCAAACCTTTCTGGGTGACCGGTGGGACAGACTTTCAATAATAGCTAAGATTGTATTTTTTATGAAAATTGTATAATTCAAAACCATTATCCTCCTTTGTTTAAGTCTTAATGAAGCTGTTATATCAAAAAAAAGTCGTCTCTTTCACATTTTTGGTACATTTCTCTTGATTCTTTTAAAACGAAACGTACTGTTAGTGAAATTCTGTTCTAATTCAATTTTGTTTGCAAATTATTAATACTCTATTGATCTGGTTTGTTGCTATTTAGGAACTGTAACTTATTATTAAGTGACAAACATTTGTACCAATTTTAATTTCGAAGCACAATGTACTAATTACTTCAGTTCAGTTTAGGAATTATTTGTAAAAATTTGGTAGTGTTTTATCCTATCCAATTATATTAAAATAAAGAAAAACATTTTTTTTACTCAACGTTTTGTATTTATTTTATTTTCCACATCCCATAAAAATGTGTGTTATCCCAACAGCCGTTTAAGGTTTAACAATATACATGTGTATGTGACAGCTGAGCGACTATAAAAAAAACATGTATTTCATATAAACATAAACACATGCATAGCAATGTATCTATAGTATACTATACGTGAATCAAGATCACGGTAATGTACAGAAAGAGAAAATAGTTATAGTTGTCTATCAGCTGATAGAGACGGATAGATGCGGAATTGAAAAATTGTATGAGAGAAATTGAATAGAACGCAACTTAATGAACAGTAAGCGATTGAGCTGCAAAAGAGTCGGAAGGTTGTTTGCAGTTCGAATCGAAATAATAAAAAAAACACGTTAACTTAGTAATTTTACGCAATTTAGTGCATTAAATTTTACTTTTACTTGTTACCAATGCCAAAAGTGTTTCAACTATTTTTAGATAAACAAAGTTTCATTGAAGATGTTACAATTATTCAAGCGTCCATTTGTACTGACAAATGTTTTGCGAAGTAGCGGAGTTTGGTAGGTGTTGTTTTTGGTGTTTTTTGTGATTTATTTGCTTAGGAATTAGAATTGGACTTTGAATATACATTTTATATACAATAAACGATAAAAAATATGCGTACTCTGCACATTGTCTTATTGAACTGTGAATATTGTCACTTACTTGCAGGTCACAAAATCGATACTGTACCAATAATGTAAACAAAGAAAATGTTGCAGGGACTATGAGTGACGGTATTTTATAATTATTATAACATGTGCTATCTTTTCCTGAAACGAATTATCTTAAATGTTTTGATTGTACTTTATCTTACATTCATACAGTGAAAGCAGAAATTGCGAAAAAATTGGGAATCCAAGAATATTGGTCTGTGTTACCAAAAAATCGTGAACATTTAATACAGTATGAACCGAAATCAATTGACGAATTACCACCACGTTCGATGCAAGACTCTTTCACATCGGCCATTATTCCACTCAGCAGCGATTTAACCATTCGTGATAAATATGTTACCTTTTTGGGGAGTGTGCGCTTGGGGCGTCTCATGGAAGATATGGATGCTTTTGCAGTTTGGATACTTCATAAGCATGTTCTATTACCTAATTTGGACCCATCAACTCCACTTCCGTACACATTTGTTACCTTGCTTGTTGACCAGATCAGTTTTACCGAAATCATACCAAAAGTTTGTACCTGACATTGATTTCTATCGTTAAAATTCCAAAAAAATATGAGTAAATATTTTTTTCCTTGTGTACAGAATGACTCTGACATACGCTTATCGGGGCACGCTAGTTGGGTTGGACGTTCAAGTGTTGAAGTCGTTGTCTGGCTCGAACAGAAAATTCAGGGAAAATGGCGAAAATTAACAAGAGCTACATTTTTAATGGCCTGTCGAAATGCGACAAATACGGCTGCTGCAATTGTCAACCCTTTAAAACCAGCCAATGATGAAGAAAAGAGAATTTTCACGGGGGGCGAAAGTAAATGAGTTTTCATGCGAAATATTCAACTAGATATCATATAATATTGACCAATGTTTTGTGTTTTAGACCGTAAAAGAAGACGAATCCAATCGCAGAAGGAGTCAATTTTTAATCAAGAGCCTAATGCATTCGAGCAAAAGCATATTCATAATATTTTTATGAAAACAATGGATTTAAACAACAAATCGTTTAACGTTCGAAAAATTCCACCGGGTAAAAGTTGCAAATAAATCATTTAAAAGGTGAGCGTATGATAACAGATGATATTTCTTTGAAAAAAAAACAGGTGCTATGTGGATGGAAGATGCACAGTTGTCGAATGTTATTTACTCACATCCGGAAGACAGAAATGCTCATAATTCAGGTAAATTTTAATTTGAAGCCATTGAAAACAAACATACTTTGAGGTTTTCAAATAAATTTTGATTAACACTCTCTTCATTTCTTTCTGTACAATATTTTATTTTCAGTATTTGGTGGCTATTTAATGAGACAGGTATGCAACCAATAAAAATACAACTTTTACATTAGAAGAGAGATTTTAAACATTTACACAACTGAAAAAAAAACTTTTATTTATTTATTCGCCGTCTGATAACAGACTGATATTATAACTTTTTTCACATTTGTTTTTGCTTTTCGTTGCAAGGCATTGGAACTGTCGTGGGCTTTGGTTTATACTTTAAACAGAGGCAGATGTCGATTAAGATGCATTAACGACATAACATTTACACGGCCAGTACCAGGTAACATACATTATAGCAGAAAATTGAATTTGCGGAATACTTTTGTTTATTAAATAAAATCAATTATATGCTGTTTCAGTTTCATCTCTATTGAAAATGCATGCGCATGTTGTATACACCGACATGAATTACATAGGTAAAATTAATTCAGCTTTGTAAACAATTTATTCGATATAAAATCGATTTTTCTCCGAAATTTCACAGAGATTGTAGTGGTGAATGAGACATACGATGCTATTTCGGCCGAGCACACTACATCGAATGTCTTTTATTACACTTATGTGAGCGATACGCCAGTTCCACAAGTTATACCCCGAAGTTATAACGAAGCTATGTGGTACCTTGATGGACGACGTAAATTTAATGCAGCGATGAATTTAGATGGCGGCAACGATGTAAAAATCGAAGGTCTAACATTCCCACAATAAGTCAGTTGTTTGATTATCAGAAAAGATTTTATTTAAATTGTTGAGTCTCCCAATAATTAAACAATATTAACAATATACATCCACAACATTTGTCGATAATAAATAAAGCTATGAAATTTTCAGTATGTTTACTTCGTGCGCCAGTCTTTGTCCAAACAACAACAAAGCGATCTATTTTCATACTTTGATTGAACACAATTTGATATAATCCTCAGGAAATACCGTCCGATATGATTTAATTTATGCCATAAATGCGTACAATGACGTCTCTTAAAAATAAAAGATAAAACAGAACTATACGAGAAAAACAAAGCAATGTGAACAATTGTTTCTCTATTTTTGTGAATTTGTCATCACACCGCTACGTTACTGTCAAATGTTTCATACTTTCATAGTTGTAAGAATCGAAAAGGCCATTACGTATTTTACGATATTTAAATTGAATAGTCTCTATAGGCCTGTTTACCGAACGTCAAATATTGCCATTGCACCAAATGCGGTTCAATGTAAAACAAAAGTGAAAAAAGTTCAAAGCGTCATTATAGCGTCATTAGATTACAGCAAATTTATTTAAGATTTTTTGGCTGTCGCATCATTGACTATATTCAAAATGAGTGGAACAAATAGTGATTCTTCGATGAGTAAGAAAATACGAAAAATATATAAAATAAGTATCAGTAATAATTTCGATTTCATTTAGCATCCCCAGTTACTTTTCAAACTCCGACTGTACCAAAAAGATCCAGATATACCTCACCAGAAGATGCGTTTGAAAGTTTTCTCATGGCTGTTGGTAACCTTCTTGAAGCGGTTAATGTGTACAGAGCGTATGTGTCTTTTTTTGATGAAATCAATTGGTATCAATTAATTTTTTTTTTTCACATATTTAAAAATAGAAAAAATTACGGTAATCTCGATGTAAAGAAACTGGAGGAAGTACGTGGAATCATTGCTGTACAAATAGAAGTACTACAAGAGGTGTCTAACATTTGCGTCATCGCTCAGCAAACCGATGGAAACATCCACAACGCAGCAAACGCTGATGCAATAATAAATTGTAGTGAGTATAAAAAATACGAGATGGTGTTGAGCAATAGCTTATATTTATACTTTTATGAACACGATTTTGATTTCATTTTTTTTAAAGATCTCCAGAAATTCCATTCCCGAGCAAACTCGTCAAGCCATGGACAGAACAAAATGAGTGCCACAAATAGTGACTCTTCGAACAGTAAGAAAAACCAACAATTTAAAAAATAAGTACCAATAACAGTTTCGATTTCATTAACAGCACCAGGTACTTCGGTAACTCCGTCTCGTGGACGAAGAACCAAAAATACATCGCCAAAATTTGCCTCTGATCATCTCGCCAAAGCCGTTGGATTTCTTTTTAAGATGGTTAATAGATACAAGTATGTTTCTTTTTTTAATGAAATCAATTGCAAACGTTTTATTTTTATTATTTTTTTATCCATTTAAAAAAAGGTGCAGTTTATTTAGTGAAGTCGATACGGACATGTTGAAGAAGATAAAGTCAGCCATTGATCTGCAAGTGGCCGAACTTCAAATTATCTCTGCCATGTGCGTGATCAATGAAAAATCTTCCGATGAAAGCAGCAGCAACTCAGCAGGTATATCTCAAAAAAAACCAAATTCCATTTGATAGCTTTAGAAGAATTAATGGTCTTACATTAACCGATTTCTGTATACTTCCAGTGTATCGTTCACATTTGACAACCAATTAAACAATGATTGGGCAACTAAAACTCCTTGTTTTTATATTTTTATAATCATGAATAGTAACCATTTTGATTTTATTCTTTTACAGTTCTTCAACCAGGAAACTCTTCAACCAATGCTTAGGCGAACAGCCACATCTCACATTAAAGGTCGACATAAAACCTTGGCAACGGTAGCCGCATTAAAAACTATAAACATATTCGATAAGTTAAATTCCATTGAGCTTTTTTATAAATAGAATAGATTTTTTTTGTTTCTCTAATTTTTAATAATTTAATAAAAAAAAATGCAGCAAACAAGAAAACTATTTGCTATTTTACAATCCAATATACGAACATAGTGTAAAAGTGAAAAATAATGCGCCTATAATTAAAAGTATTGCTATCCATGCGGGCATCATATGTCTATATGATAAACTGTGAATGCAAACTTTATTGTCAACTGAAATTGAAAGAACAGCGGCTTCTGTATTACTCGTTATGGCCGGTCCATCCAAATCTTTTTCCGGCAAGAATTCCAAACCGGTTACAAACATCGAATGAGCATTAGGAATGTGTAGGACACGTTGCAAACTAAATGCTATATAAATTGAAACTGAACCGGTAAACATAGTGCCAATTGCAACGAATCTGCCATCATCACGAACTGCCAACGAAGCAAGACTCTCATCAACAACGGCCGAATTGATCAGAGTACCATTTTCTGGGCTCCATTCCTGTAGATAACCCATCTAAATGCAAAATAATTGAATTAAATGTCTACAACGATTTCATCGTCACCAATCTCAAACACAACTTACCTGCTTTCCAACCTTTCCAATGGGATTTGCAATTGTAAATAGTCGATGGTGATCCGATTTCCCCTCAAAATTACCAAATCTACATCTTTTGAATAAATATTTGACATTATTTGGTGGTGTCCAATTTAATTTGGCACTCTCCTTTCCGGTTTCAACATTCCAAATCAATGCCAAACCATCTTTTGCAATCGACACTAGACGCTTGCTGTCAGGACTAAAGTCCAAATCATCGATTTCTTTTGTGTGTACATTTATAGCAAACATCTGTATCATACTTGGAAATTTCCAAATTCGAACGTGAGCATCTGTGCCACCCGTGGCCATAAATTTACAATTTGGACTAATCCGTACCACTCTCTGAAGGGGGCCATCCGTTGAGAAATCAGTTTGTCTGTAAAATAATGTTCAATTCATCAGTTTGGAATGCAATCAGTATGTTATCAAGAGATATTTACGTTAAATCACCAGCTTTTATTTCAAAACGAAGATAACGATTCTCATTCTGATTACCATCTGAATTTGTGTTCTTCGATGCTGAGTATCGTCGATTGGCAGATGCATCTTGTGAAGCTTTTCTCTTACGTAGATTTTGTTCGTCAAACGTAACTGAACTCCTTCGTCCCAACAATGGCTTGAGCGTCTCGATACGACCATTTTCGTTTTTATCAATTTTAATATTCACGTGATATAATTGACAATGACTCTCTTGACCGGCCACCAAATATGAATGATTGCCCGTACTTTTTACAGCGCAATTCATAACTACATTCGCTCCAGTCTCATGCCGAACAATTTCCTCAGCAACAAAGTTCTGTCCATTATGATATATTTCGTAAATTTCCTGATGTAATAAAAGACATTGAAATGTTGAAATAAATCTGGAACACAATGTAATTGACACATGATTTATACTTACAAAACCATTTGCTACGCCTGTTTTAGATGATCCACCTCCGCCTGCCACCAAAACATGACGGCTTGTTAGCATTTCAATCGAGTACAGTGGAAAGTTTACTCGCGCCAGTAAACCTTCTTGTGATCTACGTGGTGGCATGATTTTTGATTTGCTTCAAACGAAATTTCAATCAAATTTTACTATTTGTTATGGATATCACTTTATCTAAATGGAAATGCATAAAACCCTTTAGTTAAATTAAAACTATAATTGAATTATATTCAATAAAACAGATACAGGTATCTAATGTTATTCCATTCAAGGTGTCAGAAAAATATTGTAATTTGTCGTTAGTTTCACAATTTCTCCCGTTTCACTTCATGTGCCACATAGAGTATTTCGCGTTGCAGTAAAAGACGTCAAAATTTCAACATTATCAAATGTCAAATTATTCGTTTGTTTTCTCGGTCGCCTTGGTTATCAATAGATTATCTATTGAATATGTAGAAATAATAGAATAAAAATTTAAACCTATTTATTTTTAATATTCACGCTCAAAATGAAATTGAAAGAACTGCGAAAAAAATAATCACTACACAATAACTATAATAATATTTTACACATATTGAGGTTATGTTGTTTAGAAAAAGAAAAGTATTTTTTTTCCTTTTAAAAAATCAAAAGAACTCACTTTGTAAAATTAATAGTTCATTTTTAGATGAATTTTCGAAGCTATATGTGTTTTACTGTCCGTAGAAGAGATAAGAAGAATTGACATACATATCGATAGACGTTATTTGTCATATTGTAATGTATATTGTATAAACAGTGAGTTTGACAGATCTGTCATTCCAAGAAAAATTGTATACATAATAGGAACTTTATGCTATTTTTAATGATACAACGAGTATTGTGGTGTTTTTTTTTTTAAATAAATCCACTTAAAAAATGGAAGTAAAAAAATTAGATGAATTTTTAAAGAGTTGTTGTCGTATATGTTTGTCAATTTCTATCGATGAAATGATAGACTCATTGAATGTTGTCGAAAATTTTAACAAAACAATCGATCAGCTGCTGTTTGAATGTGCCAATTTAAAGGTAAACAATATATTAGAAATAAGTTTGAAAAATAATCAACAACATTTTCAAATGTTTTATTGTAACGCAGATGTTAGGCGTTGATAGTCATCCACGAAAACTATGCGAAGAATGCACTCAAGAACTTATAATGGTAGCAAGGTTTCGCGAGAAATGTGAAATCTCAACGGAGGCATTGAATCAGATAAAACGAAAAATCAACAAACAATTCGATGAAAGTGAACAAGTCGATATCGGAACAGTTGGTATAAATGAACAAGAGGAGCTCAGTAACACCAACAGTAATAACGAAACGCTTTACGAGAATATCGAATACGCAGAAGATAATGTTGAATACGTTATCTATGATGAAATAGATGTAACTGAAAATCTGATACAAGATACAAATGTAGAAAGTAGCATTCAAAACGATGCTGAAAATGTAAACATTAAAAGTGTAGAGGTTTGTTTAAATATATCTTCATATTCAATTGCACGATTTAAGTCATTGTACATTAACATTTCAGACACCGAAACGAAAATCATCGCCCAAAACTAAACACAAGCAAAAGAAAGAGACTGAAAGCAAACAGACGTCAAAGTCGATCATCAAACATCACTGCAAATTATGTGGAGCAGGATTTGCACAAGTGAACAATTATACCAGGCATTTGCAAACTCATAATGAACCCAACGACATGTACTTATTTGGATAAAAATGATGATTTTGACCGTTTTTGAAATTTTTTCTTAACATTCTACTTTTTAGTGAGTACAGCTTGGTGGACATGGAGAACTTTGAGGAAACTGTTGCGATGAGCCCAATTGGAGCCGACTTGCTGCAACCAGATTATAGTACTGGAATTGAAAGTGATCAACCCATCGAGAAAAACAAAAAGGCTATTCATGCATGTCAGTTCTGTGGTCGGAAGTTTCCATCCCAATCTCTTTTGGCCACACATATTCGAATACACACGAATGAGCGACCATTTAAGTGCAGCATGTGTGCAAAATCATTCAAAACACAAGGTGCACTTGATTTACACGTTCGACGTCACAATGGAGTGTGAGTATTCTACACAAAAAATGATTTTTTTATGTGATATGTTACTATTGATTATTTTTTGTAAATAGGAAACCATATATTTGTAACGTTTGTGATCGTGGATTCGTAGAGAGTAGCAATTTGAAGGTGCATATGAGGTAAAGCTATAATTCGTTACCGAATTCATTCGAGCGATAAACTTCTAAACAACATGCTTCTATAAATTTATTTTACAACAGAGTACACACGGGTGAAAAACCGCATCGATGCGTACAATGCAATAGATCTTTTTCGCGAGTATTTTTGCTGCAAATTCATATGCGTACACACACCGGTGAAAAACCGTATCAATGCCCTTACACTTCGTGTGACAAATCGTTCGCACAACAAGGAGATCTAGCCGCACATAAACGCATTCATTCAGGTGAGAATTTAATTTATTGCATTGTGCATTCGTTACCTATCATTCTTTATCATTCAGGTGAGCGTCCACATCGCTGTAAAATTTGTCATAAAGGTTTCATAAAAAGTAGCGGGCTAACACAGCATATGCGAAGGCATTCCAGACCAGTTTCAAAAATAAACGTGAATAGTGTGGAAAATTCGTCCGTTGACAATAAATGCATAAGCAATGAAAGTGTCATGATCTGCTACAAAGAATAAAAACATTCAAACTTCAGAAATTGAAAAAAAAAAAAAAATGTCAATAGAAAACGATGTACAATGGTACTGTTTCCAAATTCCATAGTTGCAATGTAGTGTTGCCCGAGGAAAAGAATAAATGCTTTATATTGACAGTGCAGAACTGGTCATTGTTTACAAGTGATTATACTATAGAAATAATAAACAACATGAAATTTTCTCAATAAATTTTTACATTTGGTTTTTTCTTTATTTTCGAGAAAAGAAAGAAAAAATGAGAATTGAGTTTGAAAAAATTTGTCGAACGTGCATGGCAAAGCCAATGACACTGGTTTCCATTTGGCCATCGAATAACTTTTCTATAAAAAATACAAACATTGCACTTGATTCTTCATCATTGTCCTTTATGCTAACTACATTAATAAGATCAGAGGTGAGTGTGCTATTGACACTGGGCCTGATTGATAAATGACTGTCCAATAACCAATGAATAAACATTTCCATCCAAAATAGGTTAAAATCGATGACGAATTACCAGCAAAAATGTGTCTTGATTGTATCAGCGAAATGAATCAGGCATATGCATTTGTTCAGAAATGCGAACGTTCGGAAAAAACACTACGATCTCTCTTGGAACAAACTACATGTATCCAAACAAATCCGGACACCGACAAAACTAGAGATGCATCGGTTCTATGTTCATCAAATTCAGTAAAATCTTATAATTTGAACCACAATAACTCTTACCAGTGTTCCAATTGCTATGTTGGATCTAAAACAAACACCGAATTTGAGCATCATTCATGTGATAAACAGATAGAGTTAGCAGAAATTGAACAAATTGAATACGTTCAAACTGTGGAATGTATTTCAAGCCAACCCAAGATCACAGAAGCACTAGTCAAAGACTTCATTGCCGAGAGAACAATGAAATTTAATTGTGGTGATTGCAATGCAATATTCTCTAGCAAACGTTCACTTAGTTTGCATATTAACTCCCATAAATGCACACAACAAGCATATGAATGTGATATATGCCAGAAAGTGTTTATTAAGAAACGTTATCTCGTCAGACATTTACAACGAATGCATCAAATGATGAATAAGGTGTGCAAAGTAACATTTGATGACGGAAATAGACCGATTCACAAGAGAAATTACAAATGTCATTTATGTTCGAAAGGTAAATTTCGCTATAGTTAGTGGATTTATTTGAGAATTTATATTTCTAAATGTTGAAACTTTAGCTTTCACAATGAGTTCGTCACTAAAGCAGCACATACGAATCCATACACAAGAAAAACCATACACATGTGAAGTATGCGGTCGTAGTTTTACTCAAAATTCAAATTTGAGGCAACATTTGATGCGCCATAAACAGAATAAGCCATTTAAATGTGAAAAATGTTCTGCAAATTTTGTTACCAAAGGCGAATTAAATTCGCACCGGCGAACACATAACGAAGATCCTCTTCTATCGCATCCATTTAGCTGTGAAGTATGCAAGTCCCGCTTCACAACTTCATCATCACTGGTTGAGTCATTCGTGACATTGATTTTTATCGAAAAGGTTTTTGTCTATTCTCAAAAATTGAATCATTACTTTCAGGTAAAACATAGGCGCATCCACAGTGGTGAGAGGCCATATCAATGTGATTTATGCCCTCTTCGCTTTGCAGCGCTCAGTACACAGAAAAATCATCGCCGAACTCACACAGGGGAAAAGCCATTTAAATGTTTGAATTGTCATAAATCGTTTACACAAAGATCTGATTGTATATCCCATCTTCGCACTCATACAGGTATATTTCAAATGCCAATCATTGTCGCATTTTAATTTAAACGATTTCACTTCAGGAAGTCATATGTTGTATGAATGTAAACAACGCAAGCTATCGTGTACGGATTCAAAATCCTTAAATATAAATATGATAAAACATCAAATGGAACAACCGGTTGAACAATCGATTAATTTGGAACGAAAATGAAAAAAATGTGATAAATGACAAAAATTAAATAATAATAAAATAAAAATGAGAAAACAATCCAAATTTGAATTATATCTTCACTGTTGTGTCATTGACGTCATGAATGTGAATGTACCTTAATAATACAAACAACTCGACGAAAATAGAGGTGAATTTCGTGCATATTCAAAGTTTCAAATGAGATCCGCTTCAACTTCATGCCAATAGAGACAACAAATTTGGCGCCCAATTCTTCGTTAAACGCACTCTTGTCAAATGTTCGATCGAATTATGTGTGTTTTGCATTAAATTTCGATCACGGACGCATAATTATTTTTTCTTTTTGTTATTGATTTAGTGTACTCAGGCAGCTAAATTAAATAAATTCAATGTGTTATCGTTTATTTGTTGAACCGGACACAAATTATTTGTAAATATTTGTAGAACAATTTTTTACAAGATCAAATGGATCGAAAATGATGATTTCACAATAGATTGAAGTATTCATATACAAAAAGTGATTGAACCCGCTAAAAAAATTCAGTAGAAACATCGACGACGACAACGACAACGACAGCAATAACAACAACAACAACAAAAACTAAAACGCACTGTGAACATTTACCGAGTCTCTTTGTGCAATCAAAGTGAATTCGTGTAGATTTGCGTTTTGTTTTGTGTTAAAATTAAAATATAAAATCCATTTTTTTTTCGGTTTGTACAAAAAAAATCGTGATGAAATCATCGCCAAAGATGAATGAAATGCCAGCGTCAACTGGTTCAAAGACTCCGGCTAGCGGTAAAAAATTGGTGCAAGCACGCCTTCCATTCAAAACACTGGGTGGTAGTGAGCCACCGTTCACAACCTCAAACGATACAGCGGACGTTGTTTTAGTCAGTGCGAACACACTTACTCCTGATAACAATCGAAAACGTAAGCAAAGTGCAACAATCACAAAAGATGATGGCATTCGTGCACCGAAAATAAATCGATGCGTTTTGGACAGCACCAATGAGGTCAGATTGGAAAGTTCGGAAACGATGGAAAGTGATTTGTCTTCGGGTGAAACTGAAACTGTCAACAAAAAAACATTGGGTAATAATTCAGAGAGCAAAGAAAATGTATGTGTTGACAAGTGTGAGGCTGACGACGAAATTTTAAATGACACTCGCAAAGAAACCGTTGACAAAGCTGATCGTGCAAGTTCTACACCAAAAGCAAAGCAGTCTCTTGAGTTTGATGAAGAGCGATCGAAACCGCGCAAATCAAAAAGACATGAAGCGAGCATCCCGAAAATAAAATTGCCCATCAGTAAAAAGTCGAAAAAGAACAAAAAATTAAAAAAATCTTTGCTAAGCACTTCGTCGAGCGCTGAAGCATCTATGGAGGAAGAAGATCAACCAGAAGAAGATGCTGCCATGGATGTGGATGCAGTCGAAAATGTTGAAAGTACCACCGATTCAGATAGTGAATCAATGGAACATGATGATGCGGCTGACAATAATGATTCTAGCAATGTTGCCGACAAAAGTTTTTTGAATGATTCGATTCTTTCAAATGCATCCGATCTTCCCACAACACCGGGTAACTGTAAAATGACACCGAAACAGTTACAACGGCGCCTTGAATCGGAAAAAAAGAAGCAGGAGAAAGAACGGGCCAAAGTTGAACGCGAGCGCGCTTTACAAGAGGAGAAAGAAAGTCGCCAGCGTGAAAAGGAAGAACGAGAATTACAGAAAAAGCGCGAACGTGAAGAAAAGGGTATGCATTAATCATCTTAATATTTCTATGCAACGTTCGGTCCGTATGTACAAGTAGTTCTATTTCTTTCAACAAACTATAACTAATTTCGTAACATTTATATGCACTGAATATTATAATTTATTGAATTACAACAATTTGCATCTTTTTCAACAAGTGGATTCGCTGTACTGTAACCACTTTGCATGTATTTTCCACATGTGATTACTTTCTTCGGCATTTCTTGTTTTCAATTTTTGACAAACACGCATGTGAAATGATATTATGTCTCTTTGCATGAATAAATTACATTTATCTGAATTTCTCTGAATTGAATCGTATGGAAATTTCTTAGTTTGATAGTAATTGGATGAATATTTAAAGACATTCATATATGTCGGGCTTAACTGAACTCACTATAATAATGCATTTTTCAGAGGAACAACGCAAGAAAGAGAAAGAAAAACTACTCGAAGAAAAGCAACGCGAAAAAGAACAGAAAGAACAACAACGGAAAATGGAGCGTGAAGAGAAAGGTGCAGAAATGATTTATTTTGGAAGTATCTCTAAAATATAACATAAACTTAATCATTTTTTTTAACATTCACTTATCAGAAGAACAAAAGAAACGCGAAAAGGAGGAAAAAGAGTTGCAGAAGAAGAAAGAGAGAGAAGAGAAAGGTTACCCATTGCCATTTAAACTAATTATTATTAACTAATCAATTCGTTTTCAATGGAAATATTTTAGAGCGTGAGAAGGAAGAGGAGCGAAAGAAAAGGGAAGAGGAAAAGCAAAAAAAGATGGAGGCTGAACAGAATAAAAATCGCAAAACCGCAGAGGCTTTTGCCAAGTTTTTTGTTCCAAAGAAGGTCGATAATAAAATGGAGACTAGCGACAACGATGACAAGATGGACACGGATCAAGCTCAACATTCAAATTTCATTTCGTTTCAAATAAAAGCAGATATGAAATTGGCACCAGTGACTCGTCGAACAATTAACGGAGACGAACGATCGAATTTGGAAGAATTGATCGCATCTAATACGTCAAAGCGTGATTTGTATGTGTCTGAATTGAAAAGTCATACCATTGTTCCAAGGAAAAGTACGCGCACCTGGCTGGATGACGAAGAATGTAGCACTGATGAATTATTCATTATCGGTAATTAATCAAATAATGGACGGTGATTATAAATGGCATACACTAAGATTATGTTTCGTTCTATCGTAATTGCAGGAGAAATTGACAGTCAAGGCGTACAAGTCATGCAAGACGAACCGAAAAAATTGTACCGAGCCAAATTTTTCAAGTTTTCGGAAAATCGGCGACCAGCATTCTATGGCACCTGGCGTAAAAGAAGCCAAACCGTTCGACCACGCAAGCCATTTGGAAAGGACTCAGTAAGCATATCATGAATTTTGTTAAAGAAAAATAATTTAAACTTTGTTTTAAAAATATTTGTAGAGACTGGATTATGAGGTAGATTCTGACGATGAATGGGAAGAAGAAGAGCCCGGGGAATCATTGCATGGATCAGATGATGAAAAAGAAGCCGAGTCTGAAGACGAATACGAGATCGATAACGGTATGAATGTCAAATAAAGTAGATTTTATTGGATTGTTTTTTGAATTTTTTTTTTAAATATATTTCACAGAATTTTTCGTTCCGCATGGTCATTTGTCGGACGAAGAGCTTCAGAATGAAGATGAAACTGAGAATGATCCAGAAAATTTGAAAGTAAAACTAAAAATAGCTCAAAATGAATTTGATGACGAGCGAAAGAAGAAAACACACAAACTAAAACCATGTTTGATCGGTCTAATTTGGCAAAAGTCAGATGGTTCAAAACCAGAAAACTGTTCCAACCGTGTTTGGGAAATAATGAATAAGCATGCAATGCTATTCAATGGACCAAGTGTGAAAGTTGAACGACCAAACAACCAACAACAAGCCGACGATGACGATGAAAATCACAACAAAACGATGGGAGTTAGACGCTTGAATATTGGCGAAAAAGAGATACCCGATTTAATTCGCTTGATAAATGGCAATCAAAACAGTTCCAAGAACTTAACGAAAGAGTTTTGCGCATACCTGGCAAAAAATCATCAACCACAACGAGAATATAATCGTGCCTGCATCACATCAAAAATCAAAGAGTTGGCCAAATGGCAACCATGCCCAGAAGAAGGTCGTATGCACAAAAAACTTTGTTGGTATGTTCCGATTGAAACACGTAAACGATACGGTGTCAGCGATTTGACTTTCCCGAACACATGGTCGTACATCTTCCTATCGAAAGGTACAAATGAGACTGGTGAGAGTGAAGGCGATGCCAAACTTGGCGAAAACAAAGACACATCGAAAAAAGATGATAATCCCGAAATCATCAATTTGTCAGATGATTCAAATAGCTGTAGTTTGTCGGAGACTTTAACACCCGAACTGATCAAACAAGCATCGTCGAAACGAACCAACTACAATATTGCCAAGTTCATTCGTCCATTGACACACGATGAAAAGAAAAAGCAATTCGAACCGATTACGTTGGTTCGTCGTCCATCAGAAGATCAATTAAACGATTTTCCGTCCACATCACGGGTGGCAGAAGAAAAGAACAATTCGGCACAAGCCAAAATACGACAATCCAAATCATCGTCAGAAGCGCCGACTACAAAAAAACGTGTGAAGGTTTTGATGTCAGGTCCAGTTGGACAAGAACTTTCGCCAAAACTTAAAACCACATTGGTTACACAGTTTTTAAGTGGTAATTTCTAGGGGCAATTCACTTAAAAATTGCTCATTAATTATTATTGATTGTTTTTCGATTGTTTTTCGATTATTTTAAATTAATTCGATTCTTTTCTTTTGTGATTCTCCCCTTAGGTAATTTAAGAAAGCGAAAATCAACTGACGTAAACGATGATGCAACAACAGTTTCATCTTCCACCAGCACAGCGGGCACAAGTGATGGCGCGAAGAAGTCCAAGCTCAACAGTTCAGTTATTGTCATCGACTAAGGCAAACTTTGAATAGAATTTTGCAGAGTTTATAGATGTTTAAGTTCCCTTTCTTTCTCAAACCATACATCGTTTATTCGTTAGTTTAGAGAATAATTGAAGTAAATAATTATAATGATACCGTAGTCGACGAACAATTAATTCATTCGAAATCTACATAAATTAATTTTTCGAATTAGATATATCTACTGATAATTCCCATTGAAGTTGGTCTAAAAAATGAGTTAGGATTACAGTGAAGTTGAAGAAAATAAATAAATTAAATAAGCACTAGACAAATTATTATGTGTTTTATTTTATTAGGAAAATAAACGGTTATATGGTGTTGTTTTTGTTATTCCAAAAAATGCAAATGTGACAAAAGAGAAATATTTTTTTTCACCGATACATGGATACGAACGCTTTTGAACTTGAAGAGTTTGGAAATTATTTAAGTACTTGGTAATACTAAGTTGGTATACTACTGATTAATTGACAATTAAATTAGTAAAATATCTTAAAATGTTGTACATGGGAATAGCCTGTTAGATTTTTTTTTCAGCTAAAACATTACAAAAAGCAATTGATGATGGGTTTCTATTACAATTTAATTGACATTTAAATTAAGTACTATGAAGTAAATTGAAGTAAACAGACATTTTACGAGTGCCATTCTAAACATTTTTTTTTTTAAATGTGAATATTGTCTTGATTGCTTTAATAGTATGAGTCATATTCACTGGGTCTGTGATGTGAATAAGTTTGCATGGGTAATTTATTATCATTATAGAATCGTTCATGGTCGAATCGCTTTTCTTTAAATGATGAATTATTGCGTACCATATCATCGTTGTAAATTTTCATTGGTTTTGTTGTGCGATACTCATGCTTAAACGGTTTGTCTGGGCGATGGTATGCATTGCTAACCATACTGTTGGCTTCATAGCGATTATAATATTCAGGGTAGTATGGAGCCGGTTCGTATCTGGAATCATAACGATCATACGATCTATATCGAAAATCGACAGACGGTGGACTTCGGACAACTTCTGGCAGATAAGCATAGTATATGGTTCTCTTGCGCGGCACAACCGATGACGCTGGCAAAGATGGTTGCATTGAATCTGTGCGCATGTAGTACCGGCTATCGATATCATTTCCATACATTGGTGGATAAAAGTCTCTGTAGTCAGGAATGTCATAGCGACTACCAGGGTAAGCATACTGCCTGCGCATGTATAAATCGTAAGGTAAGTTATAATCAAACATCGGATCGTACGGCATGTCTGGTTGTGAATGTGGAGGTGGCGGAGGATACATGTCTTCGAAGTATCGGCTTAAATGCAAAGAAATTCCATTATGTATTTTCAGAGGAGAGAAAAATGAAAAAAAAAAAGTTAAAATCTTACTCATCATAGTGATTGTTATTCATATCGCGATCAGGGTATGAAGATGGTCTATTTGTACTTCTCTCTGGATATCGTTCACTACTTGATGTCGGTGTCGATTCTTTGCTGTTGTGCAGAAGCGGTGGGCTCTTATAGAAATCGGATTTGGTGGCACTGGTTTTTGTATCATCACGGTCAAGAGATTTCTTTTGCTGGGCGGTGACAAAATTCACTCGAGGTGTTCGCGATTTCATACCTTCATTGATGCTTAACGATGATGTGTCCATTGCCATTGAATCCTCTTCATGTTGAATCTTTGAATATTCAAATGGCGATCGAGCAAATTTTCCACTAACCAATGCTGCAGCTGAGGGGCTTGGTGAATTTTCTGAATTGATATTCGACTTTATTTCATCTTTTGATGATGTGATTTTGATTTTTTTCTCATTTTCAATACTGCGTCGTCGCCGACCTTGGGTTGGTGGTAAAATGATGCTACCAAAAGGTAAATTACTATTATCGGTAGATTCGTCGCTGTCATCATTTGGAAATTTTTTCTTTAACCATTTTTTTAGTTTTCGAAATGCGACCGGATTCGTTGGTGTTATTTGGCTCTCGTCAATGGACATTTTTCTTGAATATCCATTCACTGAATTCGGACGAAAATGACTAATCAAGCCATCGGATTCTTTTATGTCGTGGCTACGTTTATTACGCACTGAATTGAATAACGGACCTTTACTTAGGCTACGCGCCTCAAAGTAATCATCGTCGGCCAATGTTTCTGGAAACGTATAACCTTCGAGCATTTCCGTTTCTTCAGGTATTAGCATTGCTAGTGATATTTGGAGAAATAATATCATCACCCAAATCCGCTCCATTTTTTTATTTTCTGAAAAAGTCGGAAAACGAAAAAAAAATGACAAATGACACCACATCATTAACATATATTTCAAAACTGTTATAAACGGTGTACAATTTTAAACATAGAAAGTATTCGTTACACAAGCTAACAAAAGAACACAGCCACAGAAAAAAAAAATCAACATTTTTACATCGTGAACCGGAAATGGACAAACATTGTATGTGCAAATGGTCAAATTGTTTTTTATTTTATTTTTACGGTTGGATATCGGTTAATTTGATGAAATGAACGTTTTTATATACGAGATTTATTCTTTTATTTATTGACACAAATTAATAAAATATTGATAAATTTATCCTCCATTTTTTTTTTTTTTTTGAAACTGAAAGGAATAATATATTCCAAAACACGATTTTATTGAATTAAATTTTATAAAAGCTAATTTAATGACGCGTGAGTGTGTGTATAGCGTATAGACATGAAAAAAATTCACATAAAAATCATTACCATAAATAAATATGAGCACGTACAATATCTGATTTTCACAAGTTTAAAAACAAATCAAATAGCTCCAGGTCGCAATGCTCTACTAAGTAAAATATATATCAAACATAACTGTTTGACTGTCAATTGCAAACTAAAAATTTAGGTATACGATTTTAGTCATCGAGCTCATGTTCGCACACTCATCATGATCATCAGCGATATGGAGCTACCGAAGTGGATCAACAATCAACATCAAACAGAGAACAGAGCAAAAAAAAAAGATGTCTACATTTTCAGAATTATTCTTTTGTCTCATCAAATCGCAAGCACAGTATTTGTATTGTTGTTGTGGATATCATTACGCAAAATCACCGCAACCAACCCAATAGGAAACACACGCAAATGTGTTTTTTTCTGTATATTCAAAAAAACAATGATACAAACAGAAATAAAAAGAGACAAAAAAGACACATAAACAAATGCATAAATGAAAAAAAAATGTATGCGGTGGCTAACTATATTAAAACAGCGGCCAAAGTCTTTAGTTGAAGCACTCTGTTGAAAAACTGTGTGAGAGGATAGCGTGTGAAATGTTCTACCTCTCATGTAACGATATATCACACCAACTATAGTTTGAGTCATTGAACCTAGCAAAAAACATACGTAGCATAGGCCACTCTTGGTATTTTGTCATCAAAGCGTGTTTCCGGTTATGACGAGCTGGAGTAGGTGCGATGAATATTTTCCGTTGTGTTGTTGTATTTCGTTCCATAACTTTTAAATTGGGTGCATAACAATTGGTTTTGCTTAACCTTTGCATCCAATTCTATGGAGTGAATTTGAATGGACCAACACATTAATTGCTACAAAAATTCGTACAATTCGGAATTTCAAATAAAAACGGCATAATCATTACGTTCTTTTCGTGCCCAGCACTTTTTTATTTTTTATTTGATTTTTTTTTTCGTTATGAAGCGTTTCGCTTACATCTCTTCAAAATTCAATGCCAAAATAAATTTGCCATATTCAATTAATAATTTAATTCAATTTAACTTAATCCTATTACAAATTCTTCAATAATAACATAACAGATACAATTTACTTGAGCACCAAAACTTTCAGTTAAACATGATGGAAACGATTTTAACAATTCGTTTTTTAATGTTATTCAAACTTTGTATTTAATTTCCTCTCTCGGTCCAAAATTACAGGTCTTTTGATGTTTAACGAGGCGCAATTCTCCCGTATGGTCCTTGACGGTGCGCCAATATACTGTCTGCACTGCATTCCGACTGGCAAGATAACGTACTGCTGTTCCAATCAACATTTTGTGCTCTTTTTGTGGGTTTCTATATTTCTGCAAAAATCTCTCAGCAAATAGTGCAAAAGTTTCAATCGCTGCTATTTGATACTTTTTGCTGGTGGTACTTCTTCGTCGTTAATTAGCAAACGGAAGAAATTACAGCAAACCGAATTTAAACTTTTGACTTTTGTTTGCCAAATACAGCTAACTATGTCACTTGGTTGATTTTTCAGAGATGTTCTCTCTCTGAAATTGAAGTTCGTCTGTGCTCTGTCTCAGCAAGTGTTGAGTCTTTATAACCAGACAATAAAGCAAAATATCCGCATATCACACGTGTCTATACGACCACACACAAATAAAATGTCTAAGCATGTATGCACAGACAACGGAGTTACAAAAACAAAGAAAAAACTCAATTAACTCGACTTTTTTTTTTCAATCAAATAGAACAGCTTAGATAATCACTTGTTAGTTGTATGTTTCATTCACTCGCCTTTGTTTTAATCGTACTTTCATCGGTTGTTTCGTTTTAAATATCGCGACATCTAATATATGTTCAGTCATAAATGCTCGTGATTAGAGAAAGCACACGCTTTTAATTTTTGTTTTCATTTTTTGGTCACTCGTCGGGACACTGATGGTGATAGCGCGTTCGACGCTTGTTTTACCTTATCTCAAACGTGTCTCATTTATTTTAATAGATATCACCTCTTGTTGGTAAACACATTGAATATTGCGAAAAAAAGATGCATGAACACAAAACTAGAGCGTCGTTTGTGTTTTTGTTATTGAAAGAACATTATTATTCGAAATTGGAGTTAAACTTTTTCCTTTGCCTTCTGATGCATATCACATAAACATCAAATCTCTTGCTAATGATTCACATTCACTACGTTAATGTACTTTGAACAGCAAAATAACGTAACAATAAAAAAAAATCACACAAAGCCAATTGGAACTTGTTAAAATCGTCTAAAATAAGCAAAACAAGTTTCACATTTCCTTGTTTGTATTTAGTAGTAGTTGCCTTTTTCGATATCACTACTCAAATAGATTGATTAAAGTTGAATAAGTTGAGTGCAGCAAGTAGAAATGATTTTGCATTATCTCTGTTGAAATACTATGACGAAATCATCATCTTTTGAAAAGATGCACTTTTATTGACCTCTTGCACTCATTTAGGAAAATGTAATCCCTTTCGCTACCACACACTATTCGTAATTCATTTATAAAGGGCATCGTTCAAAAGTTTTGCGCATAAAAAGCAATGACTGAATATCCTTTATAAGATTTAGTGTTGTAGTAAATCAAGCTCAGTGTTTACGTTGTATAGTCATATAATCGAACCAATCAATTAAACACTTTTTGTTCCCGTGTTCTTTGCATGATTCCTTTGTTGGAAATTGTCAACTGTTTACTTGAGATCTGAATAAAGACAACGTTCAAAATGTTTCCAATGAGTGACATGATTGACCCTCAAAATTGCAAATCTAACTCAGACCATACAGCAGACCAATCGATGGAAAGTTTATTTGTTTTTTCCACAATGCTAGAGATAGACAGTCCGGTCCGTTGTTGTTCTCTTCGCATATGAAGTGGTGATAATGAAAAAAGTGAAAGAAAATAATTGTTGTTGACACACAAAGTCATAGCAAATTTTTATAATTTACGTCATCTAGTTGTAACGAACATTTGAACTTTAACTAAAGCATATTCAATTTAAAAAGCAAACGAACCAGAACAACTATTGCGTCAGTTGATTCTGACACTGTTTGTATAATTTTCTGCTTTTTATTGAAAAAAAAAAAAGAAGAAAAAGTCCACGGTTCTGTCGCATGCCTGTGGAGAGTTGGTATTCATTCATATGGTTGGTATTGAACATATGTTGTTTAAAATGCATGTGCTCGCGTAAATTGATGAAGCTTATCTAGCCGCGAAAAAAAAGTGATTTGATCACATGTCAATGGCATTTTTTTAGTCTCATTAAGAGTCGTAAGTGGAATAGCACATTTGTAGAATAATATGTTTGTTTTTTATACTGTTCAACTATTAAATTTGCTCTTAGAAGTAGTTCCGTTATCTGACTAAAGTACACGCTATTGCTGTATGCTGCTGTTGTTGTCGTTTCCAGTTATTTTGACAGGCGATGAAAAAACCTAATCATTCGCTCATATTGAATTGAACGAAACTGGCACAAGCTCTATATTAATTATATAATGTTCACATCGAATTGGTTATTATTCGATTTACCAATTCGTCACAGCCGATGCGAATTTTCAATGAATGTTTATATTGGCAATAAAGTGAATTTCAACTAGCTCTTTCACTTATTGGTATACTACACCAATTCGGTTTTAATGGCAATTCGTTTTTATGCTGAACATAAATATGTGGATAAACATAAATGACCATACACCGTGTTCGTGATGTTTACTCATTGAAAATGCAAGTTGCAGTTCTGCGGATAGATTAACACGCTTTTTACCTTTCATCGCGTTATATCTACCACAATTTTGGTTCAGTTGTCGCAATCAAATACTCATAAAATCAAAATTATTCTATCAAATTTAAACCAACCAGTTCAATTTAAGGGTTTGTTTGGCCACAAATAAAAATAAATAGTATCTGGATTTAATTGGGTACAGCATTCAGGTGCAGGTGCAGATTTTTCACAAATTAATTTATTATCGAATTCATATAATTCATGCTGTGTTCATGCAATACAGGAAACTTACTTTTTTCACTCATTCATCCCATGCCAAATACGAATACAAGTGGAAGTTTTTTCATTGTACAAGTTTCATTTGCTAGAAGTTCATGCAATTGACAGATTAGATTTTATTCAATGTGATTTGATATGATTATAATCGATTTTCATGTCATGTTACGGCGTTGTTGTGAAATTGAGCACAGTTTTATAAATTAAAATGATCTATACTACTACAATTTTGTGACACATTTGGTTTTCTGATCAATTGATGATTTTTTTAAAATAATAATTTTTTTTATTCATACAACTCAACATAAATCACAATAAAACACAATTTTTTGATCAAGAAAAGAAAAACAAACAGTGAAATAAGAGATGAAAAAAGGGGGGTGGGGGAAACAATTATCGTTTTTACACTTAAAATATAGTTTTTGGTATTGAATAAGGTCTTTAAACAGAGTTAATTTTGATCCAATGGTAAACTTTGATGGATCCATTGGCGTCCACCTTCGGCAAAATCGGCTGCTGTATGATCTTGGCCAGATAAAATCCATTTTGTCGTAAGAAGCCCCTCCACGCCAACCGGTCCTCTTGCATGGATTCGAGCTGTTGAAATGCCTACTTCAGCGCCCAGACCAAAGCGGAAGCCGTCAGCAAAACGTGAACTTGCATTGTGGAATACACAGGCGCTGTCCACTTGCTTTTGGAAATGTTTTGCTGTCCATTCTACAAAGTAATAAAATCAAATGAATCATGAACATCTTTTTTGAATTTCAATTGGATACAAATTTTACCATTCTCCGTAACAATCACATCTGTATGGCTGCTTCCTAAATTTGGATAAAAGTAAATATTGATTAATTCACTGAAACTACGAACTATTTATCACTAATGTATGGCATAATTCGTATATATAAAAAGTGTTTTCACAAAAACATGCAAAAGGAATTAGCGAAACAAGATATTTTCCCAAATCAAAGGAAAAACTTTGTCTCTGACCATTTTGCAACATACACAATGTACAAAGCCAAAGCTAATTATAATAAATGAATAAATACCAAATTCATGGATGTGATCAATAGCTTCATCAAGCCCTTTCACCACTTCAATAGTTGCCTCCAACGCTCCGTATTCTTGACGCATCGATTTTGCAATCGGTGGTCCGAATGTAAGCTAATGAAATTAGTTTTAGTTTGCATAAAAGTATATGCGAAGAGAGATAGAAAAAATAGAGTGAATATGCAATGAATTAAAAGCCTGTCACTAAGTGAAGAAAACATTATGGTTTTTATTTTGCTTACCAATTGACTTAATTTCGGTCCCGAATTCAATTTGACGCCCTCGCGTTTGAACATATTGCAAATATCAGCAAAGAATGAACCATTCATGAGGTCTTCATGAATTAACAAAGTTTCCATTGCGTTACATGCTGTGGCAAAGAAAGCAAGACATTAATTTCAATAATTTCTTCGTTCAAGACCGTTCAAGACGATGCTGCATATTGTAGTATACTCACCCGCTGGATAATCACATTTCGCATCTCGAATTATTTTCAATGCTTTTTGTAAATCAGCTTCTTTGTCGACGTAGACATGACAAATACCCTCAGCATGTCCCAAAACCGGAATATGTTGAGATTGCATTTGTATGGAACGAACCAATTCCGAAGAGCCCCGTGGAATAATGAGATCGATATGTTTGTCCATACTGAGTAAATCACCAATTTCCTCGCGGGTTGAAACTAATGAAATAGCATTCTCTGCACCAACTGTAGCCAGTGCCTCTTTCACCAGTTCAATAAGCATTCGATTACTATGAGCCGCTTCTTTGCCACCTAGCGGTGTAAAGTATAAATTACGAATTAATTTGTTCACTCCATTCAACAATCCAAAAAAAAAAAAAAAACAAAACAAAAAAATCTTACCCTTAAGAAGAAGACCATTTGCAGATGCCATGGCCAATGCAGCCACTTGAGGAAGTGAATCGGGACGTGATTCAAATATAACCAGTAAAACACCAATTGGTACAGTTATCTGTTTCAAATCCAAACCGTCCGCAAGTTTTGTATGACGTATTACACGGCCAACATTCTACAAAAACAATGAAACGAAAAAAATATCGAGTTTATTATACATTGTATATCTATACGCTATATGAGTCCATTTCAAAATGTGTCTAGAAAACAGAGAATTAAAATGACAAATGAATGGCGCAACATAAATGTTGTGTGTTATTATCGCAAGATACCAATGAACATTAATTCTGCCAATGGGTCCACAGTATTTTAGATAGTAGACGAAAATCTCCACTCTTTTTTCGATTCGCTTTGATTTTATTTTCTTCAAAATCGATATTATCGTTGATCAATGGTGATTGAATAAATTTATCACTCAGACATGACCAAATAATCTGAGCCCATATGTATATTTTCTATTTGAATGGAATATACAAAAAAAAACACCAAATCAATAGTGGTCCCTTACCTGCAAACTGGAGTCAGCTATTTGCTTCAATCCGGTTGATAAGCTTTTCAATTTCGCTGGTGTGAGTGAAAGACGAGATAACAATGGTTTGGCGAGACCTGACTTGGCACCTTCTTCTAAATCTTTGGCATTTGCCTCGAGAATTTGAGACTGTTTTGTTATGAGTAAATCGGCCAATGTGTTCACACTTGCTGCACGTTCTTCTGGTGTTAACGATTGCAAAGTTCGGCTTCCGCTGCGTGCTACAATGGAAAATTTGACACAAAAAATCGATATGCTGCAGTTTAATTCTTTTATATTAGAAATTTTGAAGTACTTCTGCATAAAGGACCATTTGTCATACAAGATTCAAAGTTTTGAAGTTCAAGCACTTAATCAATCCTGAGATTATATGTTGGATATTGGTATTTTTACTAATAAAAATTTGAAAGATAATTGTATTTTCGCATTTCATTCATTTAAAATGATTTATAGATCGATGGATTAATATGCATACCATGTACATTTTTCGTAGCTTAAATAAATCTATATTGGCTTTCGTGGAAATATGGAAAAAGTCGAGAAAGTGATATTGAAATGAATCTCATGAATTCTTTGATTTTTCTTCGTTTAACGTTGCTGGATTGTTTATTTAACCTTCGTTATACAAAGTCAACATCAGAAAAATAAATCGAAACAAGAAAATTAAATTAAAATAGTTCGATTCTCGGACATTGTTTGCTAAGATAGAATTTCAATCCTTGAGATAAGTATCAACATCTTACGCACACGTATGTACACACACACCTATATCCAAATTGCACGTGTTTAGCAAAGAAAAAAGTTCACTCCAAATTTATTAATGTATCAATTTCACCGTATTGTTTTATACCAGCGAACCCATATCAAATTCTTGATAAAAAAAAGGGCCAGACAGTTTGAAATAACAAACTTCGGTTGGTGTTAGTGGAATCGCATTGCAATGAACATTTATCATCTCGCATGAATTTGAAACGTGAGTCGAGGTAATGAGCGAAACACTTTAATACGCATAAAACCAATGAACACCACTAAACTGTACACAATTAATGAAATGGTTTCAGAATTTTTATGAATGAAAATAATAAAACGACTGCGTTCGAAATGGTATATTTTACGAGTTGATGTACCGTCAGCTCAACAGTTGCAAACTGAATAAGATTAAAGCTGAAGCAATCGATTGTTCAGGCCCTAATTTTGTATGTAAAACCCCAACTCATTTTTAGCAACTAAATGTCCATGACGAAAGAAAAACTTTTCTCAAATATACTGCTGAGCTCGATTTGGAAGATAAAGCCACGCAAACAAAAAAAAAACACTACCAAAAAAAGTAGAAAAAAAGAATTTACCGTTTTCAGCTAGCATGTCAACTGGTTGTGGACCGCCGCTTGAGCTGGTATCAGTGAAAAAGGTACCAACTTTACGTCCAGCAATAATTGTTTTAATCGCTTTATCTTGTGTTCCGTTGCAAATGACAACGCTCACACCTCTATCTAACGCCCATGTTGCAGCATTCACCTTTGAATCCATTCCTCCGGTACCGACCTTAGTTAGATATTTTTATCATTAGAATATCAACAACAAAGCAACAACAAAAATATAGATTTCAATCCGCACAAAATCAATGTTATCACCGATTCAATTGAAATCATTCTTATTTGTGTGAAAGTATCGTTTACAAAAAAAAGAACATTTCAACCAGTGCCAAGACTGTTTAATGAACAGTAACACAATTGCAAAAGAGTTGAAAGAAATGTTCTCCGCTTTAGTCTCCCCGTTTCTGGAGAGAGAAAAATATCACAAAACTTTCACTCTCTTCAATTGAGTTTTTTTTTGTTAGCCCTTTTAAATAACATTGAAATTCTCCAATTGAACTGCCTAGGGCAAGGATTATTTTCTTACTTTGGACTTTTTGCCGAATTCGATGTTATCACGATCACTTGATGTGTAGGTGTGCATAAGGCGTGCTCCATCTTCCCATGGTGGCTTGTTGTAAATACCATCAACATCCGACATCAAAATCAATAGATCGGCTTGAATATTTGCCGCCAACAATGCTGATAAACTGTCATTATCTCTTATTTGAATTCCCTTTTTACAAAGTAAATAATATATTCAAAATCAAATTAAATTTACAACCAAATAAACACTCAACAGACTCAACAAATATATGCATTTCATGAATTTGACACAAAAACACGCATAAAAACTTCGGTTCATTGGCTTTACATAATCTTCTTTCAACAGATTTTCGTAATTTCTCATCGATATTGTGGATATTTTTTACTTTATTTTTTCTGTAGATTAAAATAAATCTGGCTAGTCATTTTAAATGGAGCAGCTCTTCGGTTATCATGACCATAATCTCTAGAGATCTTTTCGCGCTATTATCTCATGGATAATAATTTGAATTTTTGTGTGTTTTATTTTCATTACACGCCACGAATAATTTAATTCAATTTAATGCGTGTTGCTGAACGAACTGAAAACAAACACATTTCGAAAATAATATAAAATTTAAAACAGCTGGAAATTATTTTCTTTGCTGCAGTTTAGAAAGATCTTTAAAACAGTTTCGTCGGACCAACTTTTTAACATAATTATGAACTTTAAATAAACAGTGCTTTAGTTATCTTCTGGGAATTTATAATTTAACACAGATAAGCAAAGATAAATGAATCTTTCTCGTTGCGAAAATGAATGCTAAAATTATATAAACGATGCAACTGGACGAACAAATTTACGGATTTGATAATTCCATCAAAGCCCAGGCATGAAAACTCATTTTGTGATAACTTTAGTTCGTCTTGAATTAACTGAAGTGATGCTAACAAGCAAATATCAGTATTAAAAAAGTGTCAGAGTACGCCCACTCTATGCACGAAAATGTGCCCGCAGAGAAGCGATACTAAAGAATCAATTTTATTTGAAGTTGCTTCTTATAACATATGTTCAAGCACATTGATTCGAATGTGTTGATACAATTTGATGATGCGATGTGTGTTGAAACTATGTACATGAAACCATAAATTCGTGTTCGTTTTGTGGTCTCGTCGATGTAAAAACAGACCGATTTACACTCTATGGCATATGTATTTTGTCTGAAATGTGAGCTTCCATTAACTTAAGTTAAGTCAGACTATACCTCACAAGTAAGGTATCCTTATACCTTAGCATACAGATATAATCAAATTTCCACAAAAACTCACCTCAGACCTCAGGAGCTACGAATGATTTTTAACGAGATGAAAGAACAATAAACAAAACCAAATGAATGTTACAATAAATTATACCTTTTTAGCGCCTTTTGCACCAGGTGCCACATCATCATGCTCCACAAACATAGGCGGTGACACAGCATCATTTGTATTTATAATTGGCACAATATTTAAGCTAATCAATTCAGACAGCGTACAGAATAAGTTTTTCCGAGTGTTTTCATTGTAGAAGTCGGGTTTCGTCACAAGAACCTTATGCAATTAAGAAACAATATATATTAAAGAATTATTAAAATGCAATCACATTTTCGAAATGCGAAACATGGGTTTGTGGCATTTATTTTGAATTTTGTCTTGTGTAATAAAACATCCATCGTATGACATGTGTGACATGTGTTCGGTGTCAAAAATGTGATTTCCATGATATATAATAATTGAATCTACAATTTCAGACAAAAACATTCAACTACATAACAAAGAATGGTTGAACATACCTGAGCAATTTTAACACCATATTGAGCAAACATAGCATCATACAATGACATCAGACCGGATTGGCCAACAGCAGCGGCGGCACGAGGCTCAAGCAATGTGTATGCATCCTTTGTAGACAAAAAGAGAACATTCACTCTTCAAATAATATGAAATAGAACACTCAACCCCAAGGTGAGTAAATGTTCCGTTCATCAAAGCAATCAATTTCAAATAAACAACCCCTGCTGAGATGTTCATCTAATGTTACAGGTAAATATCATACTTTTTGCGCGTTAAACTTTTACAATCGAACATGTTTATACCATTATTACTTGCTACTGATTTTTCAATGAACACAATAAATTCGCTAAATAATAAATGCAAAAAACTTCGTTAATGTTTTCTCTGATTCACATTAACAAATGGATTTTCTACGCAACGTCGATATGACATTGATTTCGATAGCAAAAGTATCGCGGTAAAATCAATGTCAAGAGCCTTGAACTTCATCTGCTTCTTTTTAATTCACTCGAACTGGAAGCTGGATGTTTAACGAGGGATTTTTTTCTTTTCTCGCAACTTACATGTCAATTTTATCTAGTTACATTTACTTAATTGAGCGTACAGTTCAGATTTGTTCAAATATTATGTCAAGAGCTTTTGAAGTGTTCACATTTTTATTGCATTTGTCGGCATTCAACGTTGAATATATCAAAAGCAATTCTTTCACACTTTGCTTATTCACATCATCGTAACATAAAACGAAAATTTTATTATTATTATTTTTTGTTTCGTTGACAACGAAGAATAACATTGCGTTGTTGTTTTATATAGAAAATGTAACAGTAAACAAATGAGTCAGAAATATTGCAACATTGACAACACTGAATATTATAAACTCTAGCAGAATTTGCAAAATGTAAATTTACTACACATTCAACGAACATACACATGCTGTGCCAACGATGTGTGGTAGCCGTTGTCAAACAATTTATAATCCATTTTCACAAGTGTGAATTAAATGGTTTACAAGAGCAACGCACATTCTCTTACCACCCATTCCAATTGAGGAAGATTTATTTGTTTGATATTTGAATACAGCACATGAACGATTATTTCGTGTGAAACCGGCATTTACATGAATTCGAACGTATTTTATGGGATTGAATTACTTATCACTATGATAAATAGTCGTTAAAATAGACATTTAGTCACTGGTAACTGGTTTGTATAAAATGAAACGTTTTCAAAAATACCTCACGGGTGTGATCTTTCGGAGAAAGGGTTTCTCGCATCGATAAAGACATCAGCAATTCTTGAGTGAGCTTTTGCTTCCCAAATGCGACCGCACCGCTGGTGACCTGAAAGTACGCACCACTTAAAATATCCAACGAATTATATTAAAAAAAAGCTTACCATTATACACTCTCTGCCCTCTAAATGGCACTCGGCAACCTAAAAACCAAAGTGAATAGAAATAGAAAAAAAACATGCAAAAATGTAGTAAGGATGAAAAACAAAAATGCCAAAATAGCCAAAACTCTACAAATCGTAAAAACAAGCGAAATTGACAACATTCCCTACACTTCACGACACATAGGATGAGCAACACCGCAATAAAAATTGAATCAAAATGACACGAATGTGCGCGTGCATACATAATCTGGCACATACGATTTTGAGCGTCTCGCTCCTTTTTATGTACGTACAAAGATTGGGCTTGGCTGAATACGTGTGTTGAACATCCAAATCGTAAAACTGTGCCGCAATTTTGATATGTCTGGTAAATTGTTCTAATAATGTATAACATTCACGTAGCACTTTGTTGAGTGCATTGCACAACAATAAAAAATTTAGACTTTATTCATATTAAACCATTTTTAAGCTATAATTTGTATTTCACTTCCAATTCGATGGTGCATGGCTATATTTTCAATGGTGTTACTTAAATAACAACAATTTCCAATTTCGCAGATTTGCATTTCATTGCTCACTTCAATCCGATGTATAAAAAAAAATTGACACAATTTCCATGATATTTTCAAAGCACATGAGCCGGATATAAAAGAAAAGAAACAAGGAAATTGTTGTCCTTTAATCCCAGACAAAAACCGGGCAATAATCGTGTTTTCAATGGGTATTTTCCTCACAAGTCATTGTCATACATAACGCGTATAACTCTCGAATAATTTTATGTATCTCTTTGCTTCGTTGTCGCATTGAATGGTTTTGTGCAGAGACGATCAACTTGTTTCGTTTCATTCATAATCAAAGCAAGAGAATACATGGACTGTATGCAATACGAAAACACCAATATTGTCAAAAAGAAAGTTCGCAACGAAGCACCAACAATGAAATTTCTTTGACATTCTCAATCATTGTAATCCATTTTTCCGACGACATATTAGTTTGGAATGAGATGCATATTCATCAATCGATTTATGCCAAATTGTCAGCTATATGGCTTTTTTGCATTTCACTTGATTACATGGTAAAGTATTATTTGGTATTCTTCGCATAGTTTAAACACGATTCAATCTTCCATTACAAAATAATGCTATTTTTGAGAACATTTCATAACCGAACTCTATTATGGTATAACTTTCGAAAGATGTACAATAGTTAAAACTATCCACATCTTCCGAACAAGACTTGAAACTGTTATAGATAAAGTTTCTTTGATTTCATCACTGTTCAATACTTTGGGCCATTTGCTCTTGTTCTCAGCACTCAAATCGATAAAATAATAACTACTGTGCAAATCTAAAACCTATCGATATAGTGGATACTCTATAGTTTCATTTTTCGACACCAAAGTTTTACTTTTGAATCAAGCCTTTTCAATGTTTTCTTTTTTTGATATGGCGTCGCTCGCATTCTTTCAAAAATTGTCCTGATTTGATTGAAATTTTTGTTTGATACGCGCAAATTTATTTTTTTGTCCATTCTATCGTTCCCAAAATGATTCATTTTAGTGTGGAAACCACTTCACTTTTTGAAAATTCTTATCGAAGAAAGCGTCTGATTTCTATGAAATATTACTTTTTGTTTGCACTACGTATCAAACTCAAAATAGGTTTAAGCATATCTTTTTTCCAAATCTCTTGACCACATTTGATTGATAAAGAAACATACTTTCGAAACGGCAATCTCTGAAAAATAATTGGTCTAGCTTTAACACGTTCCGTTTTATAAATTGATAAAACAAATGTTCACAAAAGTTGAAACTATTTATGCATCGAAATTGTTGAGACAATCGGGTCAACACTGTGCATATATAAATGTGGAATAATGACGCATTGATTGGATGTTTTGCCAATAAGCACTGTTTTCGAGATTTTCATCGTACACACATCTATCATTTCAAAACTTTGTGTCATAAAACGTTGAAGTTCTTTATATTCCGTTGGCGTTTTATCAACTTTAAATGCAAAATGTGATTTTCCAAACAATTTTTCCAACTCTCTGCACCTCACATATAGAAGATGCTATAAAATAAAAATTTAAAAAAGTGAACTAAGTAAGTAAATTTCAATCTATTTTATGCATTTTTCTACATTCATCCGGACAAGATGCACGACGATAATATAGCCATTCTGGAGTTCATGAAGTGAAAGCGTACTGTAAAGTGCATATGATATGGCTGAACAAATGCACTTAAAGCGCTTCGTGAGAAAATAGATTTTCGTCTCTTTTATCTAAAATGTTTCAAGCACCAAAACGTTCGCCCCTGAGAAATGTTCAAACGGGTGAATACGGATGTTAAGTGTTTTTATTGCATTAGAATTTCTTCACCTTCTTACTCACTCAAAAAAGGCTATGCAAACAAAATTTCCGGTGCTTTTTATCTTATGTAAATATTTTCACTTTATTTGAGGTTTAAAATGCAGCACACAAGGTCGTGAAGTGCTTCGTAACTTCCTAAATTTTAAACGTCAAGTTTACCTGTTCAACAATTGATGCGAGTCGTCCCAACGCCAATCCATTGTTATCCTCACGTGTTATGACTGCACTTCCAAGTTTTACAACTAAGCGTCGAGCATATTTCAATTGACTACGATCTGAAAAAGTGTTTTGCTGCTGCTCTCCCAATTGAACATTACGTTTTTCGATAACCTGAAATAATCGAAAAAATTGGATAAATTTAGTTTTTGTTACCTAACAACAGAGGTTATGATAAGATTAAAAATTTAACATTTTTAAATTATTCATTGTTATGCAATGGTACACAGATCAATGTATCTTAATTTATTCACAAATTTACTATAACATTTTCTTTTATTATTTTTTATCACTCTTTCATGGAAAATATGAGCATTTATATTATACAATAATGAATTTAATGTGACCCATTGAATTCGAAAAGAAGAGTTTCTTTTTCTTCTGATTGGGTGTACCTTCTGAGAGAAAACCATTTTATGCTCTGTACCAAATCGATCACGATAAATGTCAAGTTTACGAATGCCTCGAGAATTTTTGCATTTTTCGTCGGTTTCACTTGTTATGATAATGCTTTTTTTATAATCAGAATTTTCTTCGTACACCGCATATTTAAGGAAGCTATCATCACTCACATTTTCACCGTTTGTATTGTTATTGATTTTATCTGTAAAATCTTGGACATTAATCCGATGATCTGATGGCATTGAATCCATTTTAGTTATAACTGAATTTTAAACTGAATTTGAGTTTTGAAACAATTGGTATATTGAAAATGTTTGCCAAATTATCTGCACTGAATGAGACTGTACTCGCTTGTTCGGTCAAAATGGAACAAAATCCAAATGTTCACTTATTAGTGGTTTATATATAGACCCGAATATAATTAATTAATGCTGAATAAGGTCAGTACCGTTTCTAGTTTTTTCCAAATCATACTGTACGCGATGTAGAATTTGTGTGATCGTCCGTTACCATCTGTTAACCTTAGTTTGGATTACACAGTATATATATGTGCTAACCAAAAAAAGGGCTTAAATCATATGACTTGTGCCAGATGCTTATTTTACCACTCATTGCTTTGGATAAAATGTTCAAGTATCGATGACTAAATTCATCGTCGCAATACAGTTTCTATCATAATTGACTACTAATACATTTTTTTATCTATCAAATTACTCAGACAATCTTCAATAGATATCGACTATCGCGTGGGGTTTTTGGAAATGTTCTTCAAAATTGCAACCGGTTCAAAGAAATATTCGATGACAAATCACAATTTTGCGGTCGAAAAAAGGGGCACAAAGTACATTTTATCGCAATGTGACTAGCAACAGATGTTTATTTTATCACTCATTGCTTTGAGTTGAAATATTCAAGTATCTATGGCTACAGTCATTGTTGCAAGCAGCTCCTTTAATTATTATCATAACTGACAATTTACACATTTTCTATCTACTAAATTACTCAGGCGATTTCCATTTAAGTTTCACACATGAACACATCTACAAAAATAAGTTTAAAAACGATATTCATTGACACATGAAAATAATCACAATTCATAACAATCCACATGTTCAATGTACAGGTACACGCAGTGCAATCGATTAAGGTGAACATCAATGTAAATGTTTGTACTTTATTCATAGCAGAGCATACAAGGTTGTGTGATAAAATGTGAACAATTTACGAGCAATACGTGCTAAAATGTACACACATTTAGCGGATAGATTGCAAACATGCAAAATAATCGTTTTGGCAGGACAGAAAAAAAAAAAAACAAAGTTTGCCCAGACTATACAAATTCCCATTCAAAATTGTTTGAACAGCAAAAAAAGCGATTTAGCGCATAATTTGCGATCAGTGTCAGGCAGAGGAAATGTTATGTATACTCTGAGAAAACTCAGATGTTAAAATTCAAAGTAATAAGAGAAAAATGCCATTTTAACATGGAGAGATTTTTGAACATGGTAAAATCTCATTTTACCCGCAACACATTTCTTTGCGGGTAAAACGGCATTTTAACATGTGACAAAATTTCTCCATGTTAAAATGGCATTTTGTCGTCATTTTAACATGGAGAGATATTTTTACATGTTAAAATGCCGTTTTACCCGCAAAGAAATGTGTTGCG